ATTGAAAACAGCAACTCTCTGGTTTTGTCTGTAGTCCACCTCAGACCATAACCTAATCAGACAAATTCTTCCATTAAGTGCATAATCCTATGTTTTAACCTTTTTTTTACCTGTTTAAAAATTGCTCAGGTAAAGAAGAGGACAAAACAGGAAAAGATCCCATTGCAAAGTCTTGTGGGATCAGAAGCAGAATTTGCTAAGATGTTAGTTTTGTGATGGTTAACTCAAACCTAGGTTCAATTTTTTAGGGAAGAGCCGATAAGGACAAAATTCCAGGTGTGATACCTATTGAAGTGTCACCCCATCATTGTCATTATAAAGTTTGAAATAGTAGACCTAAATAAATAAATATTCATTTCCATCTTGTATATACTGTGTATATTTTAAAGGCTTAGCTGCAGGATTTCTTTTGAGAAGTTGTGTTTGTTCTGTAAGAGACTGTCTTTTAAAATGAATTCATGTAAGAGAAAAGAAATAGTCAATGATTGTGAAATCCCACATGTTGTTATTATGCTCTGCCAGGAGCAATAGTTTCCCTGTGAATATAAATCCAATCTGATTGAATCCAAATGGAAAAGACACAGAAGTATCTAAATAGACTTCTGGCTTTCAAACACCTTGTGACAGTCTCCAATCACTTTCCAGCTGTTGACATCTATAGCTGTATATCTTTTGTTTTATTGTATAATTTTGTTAATGTATCTTGCTTATTGTTTTAATAATTAACAGAAACCACTCTGTCTAAATATATTGTATGTACTATAAACACTCTAAATAATAGAGTGTTTTAGTGATGCTAAACAACTCCATATGATGAAGCCAGAAAAAGGATATTGATGGAATGCCCTTTAGCTGTAGTAGTGAGATCAATCATGTTCTTAATAGCTGCATTGCACCTCTTCTCTGTGCTTCGCTTACCGGACAGTTCTCTATATTGAAAGTGCACATTTTTCTTAGGCTAAAGATAATTTGATTTCCTCAGGATGTATAACTTTTAAACTTTAATTCTTTTAATCCTGTTTGGCTGTTAGTTTGTATTTAGGCTTTATGCCTTTCCTTTATGTAAATAGGATTTCCTTTAATAGTGGACAGCGTATGCTGTTAAATAAATATACTGAAATATTGTTTTACTGTGAAAAGATAGTGAGTCAAATCAGTGGTGGGATTAGTTTTTTTTAACTACCAGTTTGGTGGGCGTGGTGTGGCTTGGTGGGCATGGCTTGGTGGGCATGACAGGGGAAAGGATACTGTAAAATCTCCATTCCCTCCCCACTCCTGTGGGAAGGTTACTGCAAAATCCCATTCCCTCCCCACCCCACTAACGTTCTGCAGCTCCGTTCTCCTGTGCAGGGCAGCAAAAGAAGACCCAGCTGATCAGCTGGGGCTTGGGAGGCAGAGAATAGATGGGGGCGGGGGAAGTCAGAGGTGGTATTTGCTGGTTCTCTGAACTACTCAAAATTTCTGCTACCGGTTCTCCAGAACTGGTCAGAACCACCTCTGAGTCAAATGGGATGTGGGAACCTGATTATCCACAAATTGTTTAGGCAATGCAGTTACATCTTAACTAGAGAGAGATTTAGTGGCTCCTAAATATGAAACAGACTGATCTGTCATATTTTCCCCCAAAATTATCTTGAAGTAATTCACCCATATCTCTCACAATGGAACTTCCTTGTGCAAGTTTCAAGGGTCCTCCTTGTTCTTATTTATTTGTTCATTTCTTTGCTTATAGTGCAGGATTGTATACTGCCCCATTTGCAAGCCAGGCCCTGGTGCACAAGAAAAGCCAGGCCAATAAATATCAATTCCAAAAAACAAAATAAAAATGAGCCCAGTGGTAACATACTAATGTCTGAAGATCTGGCTGAAGATAGTTTTCAGGCTCTTGTGAAAATGGGAATCAGACACATGTACATTTCTTCCTGTTCTTGACTTGACCAAAAAAAAAAAAAAAAAAAGCCAATATAATTTTTCCTACCCTCTTTGCTAAGCCCAATTCAGCTGCTGGAAGCCAAGGAATGGGGCTCCCTCTCAAGAGATTTAATGTGGGGAAAGTTGAGAAAAGCCACTGGTTGATTTGTCTGGCTTTGTTTGCCCTTCCATCGAAGGTCCCCAGGTGGAGGCAATCACACCAACCAATCACTTTCCTTTGTGTAGGGTGAAGCAGGAGAGGGGGTGGGTTTTACAAGATGGCTTGTTTTGCAGTACAAGTGGTTTCAAAAGGAACCTTTCAGAAATAGTGCTAAATCCACAATTTAAAAGTACCCTGAAAGAAGCTCCCGACAGGAAGGTGCCTGTTTTGAATTGAAGTGGGAAGGAACATCACCTGGCAACTTCACCCCAACTCAGCTTTAGGTAATTGAAAAGATTGTAAAGACACCATCACCCATCCCATGGACTTGCTACTTTGCCATCCCATCCAATTGGAAGCTGGATTGGAACTCTGTTAAGGCAAGGTGAGCAAGTACTAACTTATTCCTTAAATCAGGCTTAGTTTTGCAGAGCACTAATTTTTCAGGAGGGCTACCTAGATGTCTCCCAACTACACCAGCCCAAGTGTGCCTGTTAAATGTTTCCGAGGCTTTAAAAGACAAGTTTTGCAGAGCACTAAATCCTTGCTTACAAAGTTCTGTTTACTTTGGCATAATTGTGATGGCACTTTACACTTGTACCAAATGGACTAAAGAGGAAGTATTAAAGACAGAGATGTAGTGCAGAAGAAATATTCTGTACGCTCCCAAGACATTTGCCTGAAACAAATAGCAGGGATTTAAAAATCTGAATCAATAGAAATTTAACCTTTGTTGTTGTAAATGCTAGTGATGGGTAATGGGATTTAAATTAATGCTTTATCTCGTTTTAAACCCTTTCATTTAAATATGCAACTACCTTTGTTCTAACCTGGAGATACCCCAGTGATCAAAAGAAGGAAATCTTGTCTAAACATATACACTGAAATTCTTGACTTATACATCCCAGAGCTCAAGTCTGGTAAAGCTATAGACTAAAAATCAGAGGGTAGATGGTTAGGGGAGAAGAAAGGATGGAAGCATCTTGTGTTCAAAGTCTGGACAAATCAGATGCAGGTGATTTTCTATCAACTATTATTCCCTGTGTAATTGAAGAGACTGCTGGCATTTATTATAACCTGACTAATTCAATTCACCTGTTGATTTAACAATAAAAAAGTATCTTTCTTCAATTTTGCTCTCTAGAATTGTTGGATTTTAGAATTCATAAAACTGCATCCAAATGGCTGTTTAACCCAGTACTATTATTTGTTCCTCCTCTGATAGCTGAGCATTTGCCCACAATATAAGGGGAATCTCTGAGAATACTGAAGTATGATCACCTACCTCAATTCATGTTACTTTATTGCAGAGAAGTTCAATTTCTTTCTATAGTGCTTTTTTGAAAAAATACTAGTTAATTCAGATGAAATTATTGCTTTCTTATGTAACTAAGAAAATTTTCTTTAAAAATTCTAGTGTGCAGAGAATAACATTCAATGTAGTTACGATTGAAGATGGTCTCACTGTATTTACCACAAAGATACCAATAAAAATATCTATCTATAAATGGGAAGGTTTCTATAATTGTAAAGTTAGAAGGGGACATTTTGATGAGAACTTCCTTAGTGCCTTTACTTAAATATACCTACGGTAGTTACAGGGACTTGTTTACATTTTCATTTTTATAGGCATTTTTAGTTCTAAAAATTCATCAGAAAGAGTTGCATCTGCAAAGTACGTCTATATACTTTTACATCACTGATAACCCCAAGTTGGTTAGATGCAAAATTACTACTGTTATCAGATACTATCTCCTCTCAACAAAGAAGTGTTCTATGTTCAAACCAAACCAAACCATTTTCATTCCAATAATTCCTTTGTTGAAGCACTAACAGGAATGATTTGAGAGATTAACAGTTTTCTCTTCAGGATCCAAAACTACCAGTATGATTTTCACTTTCATTCTTGGTTGTATTTCTATTCCTTTGCTATTTTAAAAATGGAAAGAGAAATGTCAGGCACTTAAATCTCATTTTACTGAAATTTAACATGAATTTAAAAGCTCAAGTGCTTTTCGGCAGAATTATTCAGGAATTTCTCCTGCGTTAAGTCTCTGGAATAAATGAAAATTGAGTATCACTCTATTTTTATGCTACATTCTTTCATTTACAATGGATCTCACACAAGAGGGTTTTGCTTTAGAAGTAACTACTGTTAAGTCTTTGGAGTGGACTATTGCAACCTTTATGACAAGGAGTGCATGGGGGAAAATATGAGGCACTGGGATGGAAAAAACTGGCAGGGGGTGGTGATAAGACATCAAGTAAGAAAGGGGGATCAGATCTGGAAGATGAAGCTCAAGTACTTTGGCCACCTAATGAGAAGGACTCATTGGAGAACAGCTTAATGCTGGGAAAGATTGAGGGCAATAGAAGGGGACAACAGAGAATGAAGTGGCTAGATGGAGTCACTGAAGCAGTAGGCGTGAGCTCCAATGGACTCCAGAAGATGGTAGAGAACAGGAAGGTCTGAAGGAATGTTGTCCCTGGGATCGCGATGGGTCAGACACGACACTGCAACTAACAACAAAAAAGAAGAAGGGGGGGGGGCGACAACACAGGGAGGTAGTGGAAGCAGATGGGGGAGGGATGAGGGACTATAAAACTTGAGTTTGGGTTCTTCTTAAAGCGAGAATGGGTTATGCCAGGGGAGTACATCCCAAGAAGGCCAACTTATGAAATGCCGTGGAGGTCCTCAAGTAGTTTCCTAGCTGCAGACAAGCTGCTTCCAGGCAATTATAGACCCTAAAGGCTCCAACAGCTAGAGTTCTGCTGAATTAACAGCAGGGGGGTGGGCAGGAAAACAGAGTCTATCTACCAAGACTATGTGAACATATACTTTCAAGTTCCATGTTTGAAGTCTGAGGTAATCTTCACCAGATATTCTCAGTCTACCCTCATGTCATACACATTAAGTTTCATGAACTTGTAATTTTTATTTTATGATCAACAAAATAGCCACAAAATGAAACATAAAATACATAAATTCCATAATAATATGAATATTATTTGAATGATAATAAATGCTGTTACCTAGTTTCAATTTAGAATGAAATTTAGAAAAATAATTTGCAAACAAATTTCAAGTCGTTAAGACACAAATACATTTTAATACACCGCTTAACATTCCAGATTCACAGTAATTAGTGGCACAAAGACTGTTTTAAATATATACTTTTCCTTGATCTCAGGTGAAATTCTAAAAGGACAAGGAAACAGTAACTTTAACAAAATAATTGTATGGTGAATTAAAAGGTTGGTGTGGAATGTTTACCCTGTATAGCATTTTTACAGCATGCAAATTATGCTTGTTAAATCAGGATATATGCATTTCTACTTCTTTCTTCTGAAGGAAAAGGTACATGACAGTGAGGTACAAAGCATCTTCTTAAAGTACAATATAAATTTACTAGCACATTTGCTTGTGCTTAATTTTGATGGGAGACACATGTCATAATTTATCAGCTGCATCTGAAAAATGTTACAAACAATGGTAAAAGGAAAATAGGAGGCTTAATATTTTGACTGAAATGTTTCCTTATCCAGCACAAATTCTGCAAATCTTTGCTGAAGTTCTTTTTCTCTTTCCTGTTGCCGTTGAACATCTTCTTTTAGGCACTGTAAGAGCAAATGTAATAAAGTTAGCATGAAATAACCTGGAAGGAATAGGATGCTATCCTTAGTATGAAAGTAAAGGATTATAGTAAAACCTTCCTAAAAAGCCACACAGACAAGTCTTTATTTTCAGTGGGAAGTGACAGAAATCTGGAGTTCAGCAATACTATGTAGAGAGAGCTAATTTCTAATATACTTTATGAAATGTTCAAAAAAGTAGGAAGAATAAAATGATATGCACTGTATAGCAAAGGCAAATCTAAAAGGAAATCTAAATATAATGATTGTATGATATACAATCTTTAAAAAAAATGAATTTACAAATACTGCATTACTTAATTTATTTCTTTTACCACTGTCATTTATTAAAGCTTGTAGATTAACACTCCACAATTTTACCTCCAGTCGCCTTGGGATAGCTGCATCTTCATGCTTCTTTAATTCTTCAAATGTGCACAGTTCAAGATGAGCTTGTTCAATTTGATCCCACAAGTCATTTAATTGTTTTATGAGTCCCATGGCTCGAGACTGATAACCACCAAGCAGTATCTTTAGCTTTTTTTCCATCTTGGCAGCTCTCTTAGCTTCAGTAGTCATATGACCTCGGTTAATCTGTTGACAATCCAATCAAGAATGTGGCATGATTATCTAATGATTACATCTCTCTCTCTCTCACACACACACACAAAACACAGCGTTCAGCTGTAAAAGGAGGGATGTTATATCTTACATTTATCTTCTTCCCTAAGATAGTACACTCAGATTTTTTATAGGAGAATTTTAAGTGTTTACATATGTAACTTATCTTTGCAAATCAACCTTTCCACACTGTTCAACAGTGCAAATGTGGGATTCTGGTAGAATGGAAATAAGAGAACAGAACAGACAGGGAAGTCCAAGTTTAAAAAAGAACAAATGAAAGATAAGACAGTAAAGCTAAAGATATCAGTAACGTTAAAGATAACTCATAAAATTAATCCTTGTGGAATTAATGTATTTGTCTTTTTTCATATACATTCTGGGGAAAATTCTGGAGCAAACACAACACTACAGTATAGCTGATAGGATCCAGTGTTCCATAAATAGCCTGTGCCTATGTTCTATCTGGATGAATTTTGAACAATTTTCATTAAGCCAAATAAAGGTTCTGAAAACCATTTCATGACCTAAAGAATCACTTCAAGATGAATTATGGAATTTTAAAATCATGAACTTTTATAGAGTGAAATAAACGTTAGTATATAAATGTTAATACTTAAGGATGTTGGCTGTAAACTAAAAAGGAAATTCTCCTAAAATAACTGGTTAATTCCACTCTTTATCATATCATAGCACAAAAGTTGATGGAAAATTCAAAATGGCAGGTACCATGTTAAAAAGCCATTTTTTAAACAAATGGAAATATTTGACAATTCCTATTGCAACTCTAACAAGTATATTCTAAAGGATACAGAAAGTTTGTTTCCCCCCTTCAGAATCCTCCCTAAACAAACCAGCATCAGAATATTGATTCATTTGCAAAACTGAACATTTAGTTGCTTCTATTAGGAAAAGGAAACAAGCAGGAGCAGCCGACGTCATTTTTGATAAACCACAATGATAAAGCTATGTGTTTAATTGTAGAGACTGCAGTTTTGATTGCACAGTCTATTTCTATCTGTCTGTCTGTCTCTAGTTCTACAAATACAAAACAAATATTTATACATTTACATTAATTTTACTGATTCCTGCAATAAAAATTACATTACTGACATTAGTGTGTAAAAGCCAGCATGCTGCATTAAAAAAACTCCCTAATTTAAATTGTAAATCGCTCTGTTACAAATGTGGTATATAAATGTAGCAAGTTCAATAATAAAACAAAAAAATGGAAAACATGAAAATTCATACTGAGTCACAAATAAATGGATTGTGAAAATAAAGGCAAACAGAATGAAATGAATAGAATCGAGAAGCACAATGTCAGATACATTCATACATATGGTTCAGTATCTATATTCAAGTCAGTCTAAATAGAATACAAAGTTACTATAGCAATAGCACTTAGACTTATATACCGCTTCACAGTGCTTTACAGCCCTCTCTAGGCGATTTACAGAGTCAGCATATTGGCCCCAACAATCTGGGACCTCATTTTACCCACCTCAGAAGGATGGAAGGCTGAGTCAACCTTGAGCCTGGTGGGATTCAATCTGCCAAATTGTAGGCACCTGGCTGTCAGCAGAAGTAGTTTGCATGATTGCACTCTAACCACTGTGCCACTGAGGCTCAGCAACCCTACTCTGTTTATTAAACATAAGCACACATTTCACAAAGCCATCTGAATTTGAGTAATGGAAATATTTTCCTATTCAAAACGTTCAGAAAAATGGATTTTCTCTATTTCTGAATATTATTTAAAATCTTTAACTGGTTGAGTTGGAGATGCATCTTGACATTCCAAATTTGTGGCCAATGATGGATAATAAAACCCCACCACCATCACATATTCTCAAATTCTACACCAAGGTTTTGCACTAAATTACTACTCTTTTTGTTCTGTAGTCTGAATTTTATGCTACTCACTCAGGGGAGCTACAGAACATCCCAAAAACAAATATGTCCCCAACTTTTAAAAACTTATGTGAAAATTAGTATCAGCACACAACTGTTTACTACTGCCACAAGATGTGACAGAACTGCCTGCTATCAGGGCCTACTTGACAATAACAATGAAATAGAAATAAAAAGGTAGTAGGTGAAAAGAGATGAAATGTACTTTAAAAATAATGCATGTTGAAAAAAGAAGTTGACATGGGTTTTGGCAAAGACAGTGCAGACGGAAATGAAGCAACCAACGCATACCCCCCCCCCCCCAAATCCAACAGGTCCTTGAAGGGAATGAAACATGCTACACGTAAAGAACTAAATGGAAAGACTGATTTATGGGAGAGTGCAGCACTTGGGTATGCATTCCGATCAGGGATAGGGAGAAAAAGCACTATATTCTCTGTAGTTAACCAGTCAGGATTCCTTTATTAGGACACTAAATTGTACCACATCTTTTTAGGAGTTTAAATCTGTATTGGACACATGGCTCAAAGGAAGATACCGTATTTGCCGGCGTATAAGACGACTTTTTTGCCCTGAAAAACATGCCTCCAATTGGGGGGGTCGTCTTATATGCCGGGTCGTCTTATACGCCGGCAAATAGTAATTGGGAAGCACTGCGGCTGCCTGCGGCTGAGGCACTTTTGCGCACCATGGAAACGAATCCCGTGAAGCCGAAAGGAGCAGCCAGCCTTCTCCCAGCTCCCAAGGAAACGAGGCTCGCACCGCCCGGGCTCCGCTGAGGTATCCGGCTGGGGCTGTCAGGAGTTGTTACTGCTGGCGCGGCTCCGCGCGGCTCGTCCCGCGTTGCCTCGGGAAGGCAAAGGCAAAAAGGAAGAGCCGCGGCGGCGCTTTGCAATGGCAGCAGCGGCTCCTGGTTTTGCCTTTCCCTTCCCGAGGCAACGCGGGACTGGAGCCGCGCGGAGCTGCACCAGCGGTAACAACTCCTGACAGCCCCAGCCGGATACCTCAGCGGAGCCCGGGCGGTGCGAGCCTCGTTTCCTTGGGAGCTGGGAAAAGGCTGGCTGCTCCTTTCGGCTTCACGGGATTCGTTTCCACGGTGCACAAAAGTGCCTCAAAAAAAAAAAAAAGTGCAAAAGTGGAAGGCGTGCGGAAGAGGGGGCGAGTATATAACAAACTATATTTTGAGTGGAAATGTTGGGGGGTCGTCTTATACGCCGGGTCGTCTTATACGCCGGCATATACGGTAACTTTGGGTAATGTAGAGAAATTCCAGCCTTAAAAGAATGGTGGGGAACTTGATCCGCAGCATTGGGGTTCTTTTTGCCACTATTTCATGTAAATGTAGTAACCAAACAGCATATGCCAGAAGAATGGATTCATCTTCTTTCTCTATCCTTTGCAGCAGACAGAAAGAAAAGACAATCACAGAAAATTGGCTTGTTCCTTCCCAATCTGCCTATATATATATGAGAGCATGAAGCCCTGCACTGACACCCTACAAAATAGATTTTAGCAGATTTCAGCAAAAAAACGAAGTGAGTATGTTTTCTAAATTTGAAGGAAACAGATTCATGTATCTCAGTGAATAGTATATGGACTTAGGAAGCCCATAATCATACACTTATGTAAAATCAGAGGATTCACCTTACATTTATGTATAATTTAATAAAATGGTACAATAAATAATTCAGTTTGTGTGCTATTATTTGTTGAAAGCAAAATACCTAAGGGGCATGTAGGAGAATCAAAGGAAGATTAAAGATCATTATCTAAATTCTAGACAAGACTAACGAACAATGCACATGAAGACACGTGAAGACAATAGTTTAAAAAAAATATTTCATTTGTAGCATGATTTTAGATTGCAATATGTGTTTGTGTATTAAGAAATAAACCCCTACTGAACTTGAAGTTTTCTTTCACGTAAATATCAACAAATTGGGAGCCTTAACCTACAGGGTCAAAAATCTGAGTGAATATTTAATATTCATATTTAAGATACCACATAATTTTCATTTTTGAGAAAAATACTATGTTGGAATATTTAAGAAAACAGTTCCTCTTCCACATTATATGACCATTTAATGAAAGACATGAAGAGCAATAGTGCACTCTGCTGGGCTATTAAGTGTGTTCTACATACTGCAAGTTCTTTGAAAAATAAACAGACTATTTTTACCTTTACCAGGCGTTTGTGTTAATTTCAGCTACATCTTCCACATAGAATACACTTCAAATGCAATATTCATAAATAATTTATATTTGTTACCCCTAAATCATTAAACCCACACATGTTCATTTAGATGACACAAATACTAATTTTATGCAAGTGTAGCTACATAAAACAAAGTCACAGATAATCTATTATACAATAGCATTACTATGTATTTGCAAATCTTTTGCAAATTTGCAAAATTGGTAGACTTGAGTATGGTTTTGGATGATAACAATATCCATTCCAGATCATAAGCACAGAAGCCTGAGTACTTTATGAAAGCCCTTAAATATCATGCATGGCAAATCATGTCTTTGAAACTTGAGAGAAACATCCATTACCATGGTAGACTAGCAAAGTACAGTGTTTCTGGTTTCAACATAACTTATTAAGATTATTGATGATTTAACCCTAATTCAGAGGCTAATGTAACATATTTTTGGAGTATAAGACACACTTTTTCCACCTCCAAAAGTGGGTGAAAATGTCTGTGCGTCTTATACAGCGAATGTTGCCGAAGGCCTGCCCACCTGCCGGCCCACACCCTTTGGCCTCTACCTCCTAGCAGCTTGTTTCAGTTTCAGCACAACAGGGTTAGCACAAGCAGCTAATTGTCGGTTGGATCAGCCTCCCGACAATCAGCTGTTTCAGGCTGCAGGGATTGCCATTGCCTATTGCCGCCTCCGTGCGCCCCATTTTTGGCCTCTGCGTCCCATTTTTGGCCTCTGCGTGACCTATTTTCCACCCATTCTGATCCTCGCCGCCCGGAACGGGTGAAAAATGGGCCACGTGGAGGCCGAAAACGGGGTGTGCGGAGGCTGAAAATGGGGCATGCGGAAGTGGCAATAGGCTGATAGTTGGAAGCCGATCCCACCGACAATCAGCTGTTTGTGCTAATCAGACTGTGCTGAAACTGAAACAGGCTGCTTGCTGCAAGGAGGCAAATTGCTGGGAGGCAGAGATTTTTTTTTCTTATTTTCCTCCTCAAAACTAGCTGTGTCTTATACTCCAAAAAATACGGTATTTACCAGTCTCTTTTTCTCAAGTATCCAACTTTATAGAATCCCATTCAATAATCATGTCTAGGATTTAAGGTTATGGAATGCAAAGGAAGTTGGTCAGTACAAGGGTGATATTTTTTGCAAGTCCACCAGACATGATAAAGTGTATATTTTCCACATTTCCACATCCAACGTAAATTTGAAACACCTTTATACATTCTAAATATTTTTTCTGGGCTCATGAACCAATGATGTTAGCTATTTCTAGCACAGCTAATCCTGGTGATGGCATTCGGAAATGTCATCCTAGGAGCAGAAAGGTGGTGATAAATTCTCATTCCATTTGAGAAAATTTCAAACACATCTTATTCATTTTTCCCCTGGCTAATACATAAGCCGAAAGGATTATGGTTAAAACTATAAAGTATTTAGTTGTTCGTCAGTAGGTAAGTTTTACTTTTTAATTTTATATTCTCTTTCTCTCTCCCCAGGACATCCCATTTTTTCCTTAGTCACAGTGCATAAAAAGTTTACCATTGCCTTAATTCAGGATCTAAATTATATTTTTTTTAACTAACAAAAACTGCCACAGAATCAGGACAAAAAGGATTATACTAACCTCTAATCTCTTTTCAAGTGATTCAATCCTATCCTTTTTACTGGCCAAATTGGCTCTTGTGTAGCGACTCTGCCCAGGAAGGAACAGTACCTGGCTGTAACATTCCTCCCACACCTGATTATAAGCTTCACTTGAAAGATCTCCATGGCTCATCCCTTGCTTCACAACTTCCATCTCTTGGGCCAGAAGGTCTTCGGCCTGTTTGGAATAAAAAAAGTTGTAGTAAACTTTTTGCTGCACTTCAACTATGACTTTGATCCAGTTACTCTGAGATCAACTTCCTCAGAGTGGTGGTTGTGGAGAAAAAAATAGGAGATAGTGCCATGGCAATCATCTTGACCTCCGGAAAGAAACGGTAGGATTTAAATCTAATTATATACATACAATGAAAGTTTATAGGGGCATTTTTGCTATAGGAAGAACATACAGGTAGTCCTCAACTTACGACCACAATTGAGCCCAAAATTTATGTTGCTAAGTGAGAAATTTATTAAGTGACTTTTGCCGGTTTTATGACTTTTCTCATTTGTTAAGTGAATCACTGGAGTTTTTAAATTAGTAACACAGTTGTTAAGTGAATCTGGTTTCCCCATTGACTTTGCTTGTTCAAAGTTTGTAAAAGGGGATCACATGACTCTGGGACACTGCAATTGTCATAAATGTGAGTCAGTTGTCAAGCATCACAGTAAATCACGAGACCATGGGGATGCTGCAATGGTCATAAGTGTGAAAAAATGGTGGTTAAGTCAAATTTTTCACTGCTGTTGTAACTTCAGTTACAAAATGAACTGTTGTAAGTCAAGAATCATCTGTATTTTATACAGGCCAATACATGGTCAATAAATAAAAAAATTCTTACTTCTCTTTCAAGTTTCCTGTCCTTAAAATTTTAGAATCCATTTTCACTACTGAATATTGATTTTTTACAGTTCCATACACTTTGGCATCATAGATCAACCTGAACAAGCTGAGTGTAAGCCTTTTATCAAGGTGTCAGGATCTACTTGGATCTACAAAAAGAACAATGAGAGGTGGCCCCCACTGTATTCACATTATGGAACTACAAAATCATGAAACTGATAGCTGGATCTATTAGGTCTAACTGGGACACTGCTTAGATAAAAACCTGAAAGAATAAATGTTTTAGGGAAAGACTTTATCTGAAATAACCAGAAAAATTGATCTGAGAAACTGAAACATAAGCTTTAATTTCCTTCCTTTCTTCATTATTTTCCACTCAATGCCAGCACCAACTAAAAATCTAAAAGCCTTAAACTTAACTTATTCTTGATTTCCAAAATTGCAAGATAATGAAATTGGAAGAAGAAATAGAAAGTGTTTGAGATTCACAAATAAGTTGACTCGATTTATGATGAGCCATATCAAATGTGTTGTATTAATAGGTAATAAACTGGTTAGAAAGTCATTCAAAACGTTAAGAAATCCAGATAATCAAGCAGCAACTTCTTAGATACATAATGAACCTTTAGTACAAGTTCTAAACATTCTCAGAAAAATATTTTACATCAGAAATGTGAAACAGGACTAACTTAAAAATCCAAAATTGTGTTCCAGTTTTTTAGTGCAATACATGTCCCAGGGACAATGGAAAGGAGCAACTACAAAACAGGACAGGAGAGGACAACAGTTGGGGTGAAGTGAAATGTAGTTTCTGCTAATTCTGGCTACTTCATGCCATCCCTCTTTGGATAAGGTGCAGGAGAGATGAAAAAAACTGGGAGCTCCAGCTGGGTCATGTACAGGCATGATTTTATCAACCAGTACAACTTCAAGTCCTCATATTTTAGACAAGGCCATATAAAGGTGGAATCCTTTGATATTCCACCCACCAATTTAGACAAAGTATGAGGTAGCTGAAAGAAAAACTACATTGGGAGAAAGTGTAAGCATACATAGGGAAGGTTGAAGGTTTCTGAGGAGACAAACCTCTGCACAAGGCCCTGTGAATCAGATGTTTGGGTGGATCAGACCTGCAAGCTATTTGGGTGGATCAGACCTGCATCCTAGATTTTTAGTACCTGGTAGCTACATTAGTGCATTGCTATACTAGAGCAAAATATCAGGAGAATCTTCAAACAAAACCCACATATCTAACACCACAGTGCACAGTGATAGCCCGCTAGTCAACTGCTTGGTTGCAGCAACAGATTAATAAATTGTCTTTTCTAGCACAGCTGGTGAGGCCATACTTATAAACACAAATACGCATATTCAGCCCTAAACTCACTCTGGTACCAAAAGAATTGCCCAACCCCCGCTTTATAAATGTTCTCAACTTGAAAGAAGAACGCTTTTTGAAGTACTTTTGTGTGTGTGTGAAATAGAGTTATTGTAAGCAGACAAAACAGGGACCAAAATGATACCAATAAATATTGTATGACCTTCTTGAGCTCTTCTTTTGAAAACTTTTCATATGGATTGTGTTCAAGATATGCTATATGTTCTGTGCTACTGGCTCCCAGTCCTGGAACTTTCATCTTCTTGCTGCTGGGGACCTCCCCGTAAGGATGATGCACAAGATCAAAGTGGAGCATAGTGATCATCTCTTTCTTAATCAGTTCTTCACTCTTCTGTAAATCAGTTAGAGGTGGCTCTACGTTTAAAGGTCTCAGGATTGTTTCATTTACCTAAAACAAACCAACAAAAATCATTCACATTGTCACTTAGGAGCAACCTCTTATAATCTAAATTCTACTGTTTTTAGATTCATGTACTCTGCTACTGGAGCACAGATAAACACATTTTAAGCTTACAAAAAATTAGAAATACTTAACTGTTTTAAAAAAAATTGTAATCAATCAAAACTACATCAATGGGTTTTCTGAAAGGGATACTTTAAAAAAAAAAGAATGATCCTAAAGGGCCCTTTCTCCACCTCAGACCTCACAATTAACTCCTATAGTATAACTTTGCAAGATTTATTCTTTTACCCTCTTACGGAAATAGGCCCATATTTATTAGAATTAGGAATAACTTACTTCAGAAGGTCTTGGTAGATCTTTTTGAACAGCTTTGTGCATTCGCTTTAAAGCCTTTAGACGCTCCATTTCTCGAATGGTCTGGAAAGAGATTTCAGCAATTAGCGTGAGTTTTTGCATGACTTCTCAGCAACACAGCACAGTGAAAAGCCAACAAAATCTGTTAGAGAAAACAGTGTCCTAAACCAAATATAGAGCAGAGAAATGTAGTGCTGCAAATAATTTTTTTTTAAAAAGAAATCCCATTCCACAATACAAAATCATTCTTCCATAAAGGGGAACAATTTGTCCCAGACTTTTTTTTAAAAAAAATATCCTGCCTTTTTTTTCAAATACAATTCAAATTAGCAAATATACTAGTACTTCCTCCTCTTTCTATTTTCCCCACAACAGCAACCTTATGAGGTGAGATGGGCTAAGAGAGTGGCTCAGCTGGTTTTTCATGGCTAAGGCAGGATTACAACTCACAGCCTCCTGGTTTCTAAGCCAGCAAATAAAAACTATCATATTATAGGAAATCAACATTGCCAAATCCAAATTGCAAATGACAGGACTCAGCAGGAGAAACCACCCCACCCGTACTGTCTAGGTTTATACACAATAGTTAGTATTGGTCTCTGTATTGTCCTAATCTCAAAAGTATGGTGCAGAAAGTCAGTAACTGAACAATTTCCCATTCTAAAATGAATATATCTCCAAGTACTGTCTCATTTTTTAACTGCTTTTCTGAGAACCAGCAATTTAGCAGTTGTTTTTTCACTGATAATGAAGTATATAGGTGGTTTATATAACTGTCTCCTAAATATTTATTGGTTTAGGAAGTGATCATTACCTTAGTCACAGTTACTTACCCATGATTTACTCAAAAGTTTATTGGGATTGCATAATACAGTGAGTCAAAGTCTAACCACAATGGTGGAATTCATGCAGTGTGCAAGGTTAAGATGTAGTTAGGTATAAGCTTTCAAATAACGCCAGAGAGATGCCTGAATGTAGACCAAGGCCAAGAATCTTAATTTAAAAATTATCTTCAACCACAGGATAATAACTCAAATAATCCATTTATACATAATGACTGAAGAGCTACAAAGCTCAACCTGCATGTTCTTCTAACAATCATAAGTCTGCTGGATGTTGCCTATTGAATGTTTTCTGAAGAAGCCTTATCTGAATCCCATTCTTATACTTCCATGCCTCAGGAAGATATCTTCTGTGTTCTGATACTCTGATCTCTAATATTTTTAATTGCATTTTTTGCAATTTATCATTTTAACAGAGTTTGCATTTATTTATCGTTAGCTCTGTTAAGAGAATATTCCTTAGAAGCAGGACATATAATCTAAATAATCATAATACTTGGGAAGATATATTATAAGCATCCTTTTGTTCTATGATGACAAATTAATTGCTGCCAACTCCTCTTTTATACATTTTACCTGTTTGCGAGCATCTGCATCAGCCGCATCTTCTATGTATGTATCATCTGCATTATGATCCTCAAGCTCCTTCTCTGCATTTTCTGGCAGAACAATTTCAAAGTCGTTCTTTGGAGCAGGAAGACCCATCAGTCCTAGACGCAAATTTTCACGGGATTCTCTTTCCTACAAAATGTTAAAAGAATTGAATAAAGGCAATACAAGAAAAAAAAATGCTTTCCTAAAATCAAATATGCTTTTTTCTCTAGAAGAATAGTTGAAATCATTTTCAGGTATATATAAAAATGGCAAAAAATTATGAAAAATTCACAATATAATTCATTTCTAACCTAACAAACCACATTTCACTATAAATTTCTTTTTTTGTTGTTTCTTTTTTGTCTTTATGTTTACAAGTAACTCAAGGCAGCAAACATATACAATACTGCTTCTTCCTTGTTTTCTCCACAACCACCACACTGTGAGGGTGGATTGGGTTGAGAGTGACTCATCCAAAGTCATCCAGATGGTTTTTATAGCTAATGTGGGACTTGAACTCTGGATCTCCCACTTTCTAGCTTGGTGCTTTAACCATTAGACCAAACTGGCTGTGTTTGTTCAGTTTGTTCTCAGTTGTTCCTTACAATAAAGAAGCGGCAAACCAGCAGTTAAATTGTGGCACGTAAAAATTCTTACCAAGCACTAGTATTGCAAAGTTTAAAATAAGATGTTTATTCTTTTTCAATCACAATTTCTTGCAAACTTACTAGGATCCTAGCAACCTCTTTTCATCTTTTTCCTTCTACAGATGCTTATGAATCATAACCCCAGCTTGCAAAAGTCAACGATAATCATTTCCCAATCAATCCTAGGGTCAGAGGGAGCACTGGGAGATCACCAAGATGCTCCCATCTCTATCTCTGATCACCATAGTTGCAATAAAAAATGATGAATCATGTCGTTTTTGTTGTACTTAACTGAAAACATTGAAATTAGTCTTGGCTGGATTTTTGATGAAAATATTTTCTTACCTACCATATGTTTTGTATAGGATGGATCACTGTAATCTGCCAACCCCTCCTCAGGATTAATATTTAGTTTATCACGCAATGGAGTTCTGCCTGGTGTCACTCCTATCACTGGCTTGGGAGTCATTCCACTATGAGGAGTCAGACTTTCAGCTCCATGAGTAGGAGTCCTAGAAAAATACAAAATTGGTAGAATGCATCAGTAATTGAGGTAATGTATAAACCACTTAAATATATTCATCAGAACACTTGCTAATATCATTGTGTTTTAAGTTTTTAATCAGCAGCTAACAAAACTATAAGGGCATAGAAAAGAGGTAGCAAAAAGGAATTTTGTTTGCTGAACAAAGTAGATGAGATCGGACAGACACAGTAAGCTAGAAGATTTGGAAGGAAAAATTCAGCAGTTCTATCTTGGGTATATCAGAGACAGTCTCCTGTTCACCAGTCAATGAGCCTGTTATTTCTCACGTAACAACTTCTCTGAATCACAATCTTCATCTTTAAATAAATCTTGAAACTCAAGATTTGAAACCAATAAACAGCCTTTTCAAAAATATATCTCTAATAATTCTATCTTGAACAGTTGAACATAGATAGGCTCTTGAATCTTGTTTAGTTTATTATTTCTGTGGACGCTGCATATTTCTCTGACTTGCTGAGTTGAGTTTTCGGATTGAATTTGAAAATAGGCTTTCTGTACGTGCATACTGCATATTTTTCAACTTGGTTGCCAGTGATTTTCAGAGTGCATTTAAATGCAGATTTTGCTAGTTTATACAGACTGGTGCCTGTGAATGTAGTAGTGTCTGTTTTTGCTCCTGAGTATTACTATTATACAGCTAAGCAGAAACTGTTTTTTTCTTTGGCTATAAAGCAAGCAAAAATGTCTAATAATAATTACAATAATGCACTGTAAAAATAGTAAACCAGCCATGATCCAAATGGTTTCTGGAACACTGGGCACCATACCAAAAATTTTGGACACCACTGTACATTGACAAAATTTCCATCTATCAAATACAAAAGGCTACCCTGCTTGAATCCATACATGTACTATACTGATACACTGTGGCATCTTACTTGATGTGTATGAAAGCCAACACCACCTAAAGAACTGGCAGCTGTGACTTCATACTGTTGTGTATATAATAATAATAATAAAGCAGGAATTGTACTGGAAGATAAAGAGGCTTCCTGTTCTTTTTCGAACTTATTTTAACATATACATTACATTTAAATTGTCACTAGGACTCAAAACCAGCATAAAAATTAACCAAGGAGAATTCTTGATATTTCAAAATACTTTTGAAAACATTAAAAAAATCTATGAACTACTACTCACTCTCATAGCTTTGAGGTAAAAACAACAACAACAACCCACAAAGGAGCAAGGAACTCTTTTCAGGGTCCCATCAAATCTATGCATGCAAACCTCAACATGTTTTGAGCAGAATTCAGAATATTAGCACCATCTCAAATTTTGTTTTATCATAATGCAGCCAATTTAAAACGTTCTAAAGAAGCATTGCAGGAAGGTTCTTCTGTTCTTACCTAAAACACACCTTTATGTTTCACATATACCTATATAACTGTACCTTTATTTTCTTTGTAAAGATCCTTAAGGGTGCAACTCTATATACGAAAAGTACCACTTCATCCTTATTGTAGGATGCTTCAGTGAGGTTGTTCAATATACTGAACCACAACTATTCAAATTTCCTCTGTGTAACAGAGACCTATTTGTTAAGAGGCTTCTGGGAATTGTCTTAGGAATCAACCTAACCATCCAAGCAGAAAATATCCCTCATTTTTTGCAGGAAAATCTAAAATGCCCTTCTCAACAACTCAAGAATCTAATTTACCTGAAGGGAGTTGAAAGCACAGTATTTGGTGTCTGAACAACTTGTCTCTGAGGTGTTATTCCAGAGAAATCACTTTCATGTAAGGGTGTATTAAGACCCCCTTTCAAGGGGGTATCCACATTTGTAAGTGCCATTAAATTCTGAGCTTCCTGTAGGGAAGACATACAAAATACACAATAAATATTTTTCAAAATCACCAATTACAATAACAATTGTAAAACAATTATGAATCACCATATACAGATACACAGAATTACCAACATACACCTAATGTCTCTGAACAAGGAATTACAGTCTTAATCATTGTCTGAATGTTTTAAATTAGAGTTCACTTTGGTTACAAAGTGTCTCTTTTTTAACCTTATATTTGAGCTGCTTCTGCATTTACCCCCCCCCCTTCACACTCTGAATAGGTTTGCAGTGTCCCCACTCCTCAAAAGGAGAACATACCAAAACTGTTTCCACCAAGTCACAATAATTATCTATTTATATATAGGAACCAAATAAATACGTAAAAAATTATCTGCTTGGTATTTAGCCCTTCTCTGTTTTTATTCCATGGCAGGAAGAACGATAGTAATGGAAGTTGCAGGACAATTTGCAAGTGAATCAGTGTTTGTTTAGGCATTACCTGTAGGATTCTGTCCTGAGCTGCAGGTGTTTTAGGTGTTCGAAGGGCAATGCTGTTGTTGGTTACATTGTATTCTGATAAGAGCGTGCTGGAAGCAGAATTTGTAATTCCAGATTCTTCTGCTGTTTGACGGGCAATCTCACTTGCTTGACCAACTTTAACTACTTCCTCAAGTTCTGTATCTGAAATCTTAAAAGAGCAAATGAAATAAGAAACAAGACTGCAGGTTTGTAATATACAGACATTGGCAACAGTTAGTAAAAATCCCAACTTTTAACTTCAGGAAAAAAAAATGGTGTTCTAAAAGAAGACAGGGCTTGTGCTACATATCCCACCTCGAGCAAGGGTGTCAAACACAAGGCCCGTGGGCCAAATTTGGCTCGCTATATGGTCAGATCCTACTCATGGGGCCATCCTGGAAAATGTAAGGGGCCGGCCCGCATTGCTTCGGCCCGGTCTACCCAGTGCTAAGAGGAAACATGCCAGCAGTTTGGGAAGTGATGTCAAGCGGGCTACACCCATTCAGTCGGCTATGCCCAAGGTAAACCAAAGCCCTGATGAGGCCCTCAATGAAATTGAATTTGACACCCCTGACCTAGAGGCAATAAAGAACAAAACCCTTAACTGGTTAGTCATGGATAATTCCTTTCTTCATTATAGCTAATACAGAAGAGCTACTTGTCCTTCCAGTTAGCAGTTGATGAAAATAAAGTTTCTCATCTTTAAGACTACACCGTAAACCACAAAATATATTTAATGGATTTTAAACTAAGTATAGTAAACATCCAAGCTCCTTAACAAGCAGAATATAGAAAGTCCTGCATAACCGTTGCCACTTTGCCTCATCACTATGAATGCAACTACTATTCATTTAAAAAGGTTCGGAATACCTTCTCCCACCAAATGGTAACCTTCCCTCAGCAATCCTAATACCAGGGGTGGGTTTCTACTGGTTCTGTCCACCTCTGTAGAACCGGTAGCTCTGAAGAGCAGCAGACATAGAACCGGTTCTATGTCTGCTGATGTTTTTGCCCACCCGCCTGCCCGGGCTCTTACCTGACCTTTATTTCCTGCTTTTTCAACTTCAGCTGCCGAACAAGGCACAGCTGCAGTTAAAAAAACAAGAAAGAGGTTTGTTTCAAAGGCTGCTTCTGGGCACGCAGCGTGCTAATGACGATTAACAGGTGTGCGGCTCACAGCGGACAGGGAAGCAATCTCGTAACATTTATTCTAATACACAATCTTTTATCCATATATTACTAAAACTTTTGTCATTTCTCTAACTGGGAGAAATGACACCTTATAAGGCAACAATTTTTGAACCAAGACATCTCAAACAGGCTAACCTATGAACGTTAGCCCACTTGAGGTATCTAGGACCCATGAAATTTGGGGAAATTGTGGCTTCTTCAGTGGTACTGTGTGCTGCTTCTTTATTTTCAATGCTCCATGACAGTTTCCCAGCCAATCTTATAACCCCTCTCTTCTCCACCCAGCAGTAGTCACTTTTTTTACCTGCCAGGAAAGGGAGATTTCCAATGCCCCTTGCCAGATTCCCACAAAGAAAGTCAATGGGAAAGCTGGTGGAAAGCTAGAAGTCACACCTACTCCCACTGCTTTTTTACTAGCACTTGGTCATTCTGTTTCTTTGTTTAGGTAAGGAAATATTTCTGAAATGATTATCCAAGGGGACATGGGTTGTCTAGATCATAATAAAACCATTGCCTTTATAGTTCTACCTTCATTATCTCACTATCTCTGACCACATGGATTACACACAGAGATACACAAAGAGAGAGGCAGATTGATTTGCATACACTGACATAAGGAACTGCATCACAACCTATTTGTTATTGCAGCCTCCAATACTAAATGAAACACAATTTGTGCTTCTACTGATGAGCATTCTATTTCCATTATTAAAGAAACTTGGAAGACATTTCTTTTCCACACTAACAGAAGAATCACCAGAGATAATAACAAGCAATGTACCTGAGGAGCTGGAAGCACCAGTTTACTTCTTTTTTTAGTAAATTCTGAAACACCACTAGTCTGAAGAATTGCTGACGGTAAATCAGATTCTTTTTTCCGTTTCAGCTGTTGCTTATCTTTTTTTCGCTCTCTTCCTTCTTTCTCCCTAATAAAGTTTAAAAAAAAGTTAAATACAAGGGTTTTGCAAAGATTATCTGACATGCTTCAAAACTGGATAGGAAAGAGATAAAATTTATAGAAAGATTGTTGTTCATAGGAGCTATCATCTTAAATTTCAATAAATCCAGTTGTTTGCAAATCCTTTTACAATCTTGGTTATTAGTATGCATTATGTTTTACTTTTCATCAAAATGTAATGAGAGCAATATCACAAGATCCTCGTGACAGCAATCCTGGATATGTCCCAATTGCTGTTATAATTTCAGGACCACGCGGTCAAATGGGAAGAGATGGGGAGTCTCAGGCAAGCAAACTGGCAGACGTGGGTGTGCAAGTGCCACGGGCAGGCACTGCTAAGTGCAGGTGGGCAAAAAAGCAGTGAGGGTGGGCGCAGGAGCAACTTCCAACTTTCTGCTGGCTTCCCTGTTGACTTTGTTTATGTAAAGTAAGTAGGAAATACTGGAAAATGCAGTCTGTGGCTCACTGCAACATTGTAACTGCAAGATGAGTGCCAAGCACCTGGACTAAAACAACTGGAACTCTGAGGAAAGATTGTAAGCCTCCCTCATTCACTACCACTGTAACTTTGACATGCTGCTCACTGCTGGTGCTTCTCCAAAGTCAGGGGAGAAAGGGAGAGAGTGGAAAAAGAGGGAGAAGGGAAGACAAATCAGAGCTGAGTGCCTAAGCAGAAACAAAAGGGAGAAAACAGAAATGGCATAACAGTGTATAAAAGAGAGAGGAGGCTGAGTTTGAGAATGAGCGAGAAGAGCATAAAAAAGTGGGATAAAGTGTGAGAGAGAGACCAGACAAAGGGGAGGAAAAGGAAAGGGGAAAGAACATGCTTTATTGTTCTTCTCCTCTTGGGCTCCTTCTTGCTCTACCCTGCCCTGCCTTTCCTGCCATCCAGGCCAAAGGCACACACCCCTTTTTCTAAGAATTGCACAAGTGGAGGTTTAATGTGCTTAGATTTTGGCAGGGAGGTTTTAAGCACCAGAGCGGGAAGGCAGCAGTAAAATAAGGAGCATGGGGTACCTTAGGGCCCTGGAGGCCCAGGATAGAGCATGCACAAATGCCTCCCAACAGCAGAAAGCACTGACTTCCTGGCAAAGCCAGCAGAGACTATTATAAATAGCAATCATATAATCACAATTGGTTTTAAGTGTGAACTGGTTCCCAAGTGCCCAAATTGCAATCATGTGATCATGGGGAGGCAGGTGCATCATTTGGAAGTGCTTTACTTACAGCACCCTTTTCAAGGCCATCCTAACTTTAAACTATTGTTAAGCGACCAGTCACAAATCAAGGACTATCTGTACATTATTTTATTTATAATCTGTATCTGAAATACGTTGTTGCCATTTTTTCAGGAAGATTTAGCACTGATAAATATTAAGATGGTTAAAATTATAAGATGAAGCGGGAGCACAAATGGAGGGCAGCCTTTCAGATATCTTTTGAGGAAGCTGTACAAAATATGGTTACCCTATATTTACAAGAAGATTAATCCTAAAAAAATTCCAATGCTTTATTATTACTTTTAAATTATAGGGATTAGTAAATGCAACTGGCTAGATTTAAAATAGTGGAAAAAAATTATTCACTATCTCTATGCAAAAAGAAAGGTATTCCCATCCTTCTGCAATCCTTATGTTTTCCTAAACAATTAGAAACCCTTGGGAGATAAATGGCTGCTCTTGCTGTGTATGAAGAGAAACATTTACAACTGGAACAACATCAATGTTTAAGCTTTGTGAGACCTCAGACAGAATTTGATGTATCACAAGATTTTGCTCCATGTACTACTTTAATCCAAATTCTACTTACGATCTCAATTCCCCATCCAAATCTTGTTGTCTTAGTTTCCTAAAATCTGCATCCAGTGCCTGATAGTTTTCTTCTGATGTATCATAGAAACCAGGAGCAGGTTTCTTCTCAAATGGGATTTCAGCATTGTAATCTACTCCTCTTTTCTTTTTTCTTTTTTTCTGGATCTCAATTCCTGCAGCTCGGAGTTCTCTCCTTTTTTGTAGAGCAGCAAGACGCCTGAGGAGTAAAATCAAGTTTGAAGTGAATATTAAAGGCTATGTATAACATATAGACCTCTTTTGTTGAAGGAAACAAAATATCCATACTTTATTTTTTTAAAAAACCAAATCTCCATTTAATTGTTGAATTTTTAAAGACAAAAAATCTGTGTGAAATAAGACTTATTAAAAAGTCTAGGTTTAAAGACAATATTTCAAATATGTGATTAGTTCTAGCTTTATCACAATTATGTGTGAAATTCTGCGCAATTATGCAGAAAGTTAATCAGATAAGGGAGGGGATGGAGTCTATTCATTTAGATTCAAATGTATTAGGAGCTGCAAGGAGTTAGGCTTAGAATCCATCACATAGATTTGCTATGCATACAAAACAAATCCTGAAAAATCCAAGCTATCTATGCCAAACTGAAGCATGAAAACTTTGTTACGATTTACGATTTAATCTTAAATCTGATTGGAAGCAACAGCATTCAATGAAAGTACTTGAGATGTAGGCTTACCTGGCTTCTTCCAACTGCTTCTCTCTTGCTTTCCTTTTGGCTTTCTTTCCCTGAGTGTTAGCCAAACGAGCTCTAGCTTCAGAGAGCATCTCAAGTTCATCTGCAAAACAAATATACAAAGTTACCATTTATTCATTTACAAACAGCCACCATAGGATCAGAAAAGTCTTTCAAAAGTTGGACAAAAAAACCTTAATACAAATTCTACATCACTTATGTCTTCTTTGAACTCATTCAGCTTGACAGAATTCTTAACTTATATCCATTATAGCTCTATATTCAAGGGAAAAATTTAACTCCATATTAAATAATGATTTGTTTCTACATTAATGAGGCTAGAATCTCAGACTGAAAAATGTAAGGCTTAAACACCATTTTCTAGAACAGTTTACATTCAGCTTCTCTTTTCTGATTTGTTAGGCCCAGTAGTTTGACAATATTCAGAAAACTGCATTGCAAGGCCACTGGTAACATCACACATGTGAATTAAGGAAGCTACTGTAAACTATAATCTAAAGTATACCCAGCACTATTGGATAAGATCATCATCTATTTATTCAAACCAATTTTGAGGCTGCCCAACTCCTTGATGAGTTTGGATGGCTTATATACAAAAATAGACCAATAGATTTAAACGTAAGTGAAAAGATCCGGGCCAAGCAAAAAAGCAATACATCCACCATAGCAAACATAACTAATGGGGACTCTATAACCACTTTATCACACAACCTAGAAGAACAACCATGTTTTCAACAGTTTTCCTAAATGTGTCTCTGGGAGGATATTATTCTAGAGGATCAGCATTGCAATAAAATTGATACACTTCCTGGATACCACAAGGTGACATTGTTTGAATGGGAATTAGAACAGAGTCACCCTGCTTGGTCTTACTGGGATGGGCAAAACAAATGAAGATAAGCAATCTCTTACATAGCCAGATGCTCTGCCAAGAACAACTTTAAATGTAATAATTAGCAACCTGAAGTGCTCCTGGAAGCTGACTGGTAACTAGAACAACTGATGAAGCAGTAGGTCGTGTGTGCATAATGTACCAATAGTGCCTGTATGTGGCATTCTGGACCAGCTTAGCTTCTGGATGGTCTGCAAGGGCAGCTCTATATACAGCTCTCTCTATAAATTCAATCATAAGGTGACCAGGGCTTGAATGACTGTCTGAAGGCTCCCCAGTCCAAGAAAAGTGCAACTGGCACACTAGATGTACCTGTGTAAAAAGCTTTTTTGGTCACAACTGCCACCTGCTCTTTGAATAAGTACTAGAGATTCTAAGATTTTGACACTATCATTAAGCCACCCCATAGCCATGATGTATAAGTAACCATGAACTGATGGATGAAATCACCTAACAGTTTTATGCAGTGTTAAACAGAAGGGGAAGGAGCATCAAACCCTGCAGCATTCTGTAAATATAGGATGGACATGATCTCTCCTTATCTGTCAACACTGAGTGAAACTGGCTGGGTCTAACAAAAAGGTGACCAAGCTAACACTGTTAATTTGATGACTGGAGAACCCTATTCATTTCTTTCATTTTGGGACTTTGGGAGTCAGAAAATCAAACTCACTCCAGTTTATTTCATAAGGCTTTGCCATTTCAACTGGATCTGTCTAGTCACAGTCCAAGTCCTCATAATGATAGATGGTCTTGTGACCCATTCCTCCTCAATAGGACTCAGTTTTAAACAGGGCAGCTATCAGCAGACATAAAAAAGAGAAATGATGTTTTGTCACCGTGATATAATCCCTAACATGGATTCTTAGTCATGCTGTTAGTTCACTCTTTATCGAAAGAGTGCTTTAAGTATCCTAACCCTAAACTGTATTTCCTAGAGATCCTCAGAAAACAATGAGCACACCAGGATATGCATAGGGAGAAAAGCACATTTAGGGGCAACCCAGCCTAAGGCTATTATTATTAGCCCATTCTGTGTTTATAAGAGAAAGACTCCCTCAAGTCTAGCTCAACCAACTTTTTTCTTCCTTCCTTCCTTCCCCCCTCTTGTAGCTACTAAGACTATCATACTATTGATTTAATGAAGAAAGTAAATAAGTGAAACATTAATTTAAAAACATAAAACACAAAAGGAAAAATATTCAGGGACTGCTTCGACCAAAGGTAGACATAATTTGAAAAATAAATCAAGTATACCCTCATCCATATCAATAGGATCTGGCCTGGCTGGCTTAGTTTCTGGGTTTGGATCAATTTCTCCAGGTTTAAGTTTTCTAGGGTCATCAGCAGTTTCTTCCTCATTGTCCCTTTGAGCAGCTTTATCTCTATCAAGATGATACAAAAAACAGCACAAAGATAAGAAACAACACTGCTAAGAAAATTACATAATTTAGTAATCACTGCAATTTCTAGAATGCTATAAGAAAAAGAATCAAAGCAAAATTTTAGGAATACTATAATTCCTGTATTACTAAGCATTTCAAAGTTTTCTTCAAAAAGTTTATACAGCAGGAAGTCTTCCAATATATACAAATATATCCTCCCATTACAACGAAAAATTACTTACAATAAAAATTCATAATGCTCCAAACACTGGGCAGCAGTTCGTCCAATAATTGGTGCAATAGTTCTCCACTGAGTTGGCATAAGTTTGGCCAAATGGAGCAATTTCTCTTCTTCCTCTCGTGACCATTCTGTCTTCTTAATACTTGGGTCTAGCCATTCATACCTTATTCAAAATGAAAATTTTGTTGCTTAACAATAAATTTCTATCAAATATAAGAATACATTAAAAATATCAGCACTGACCTTCAGTATTAAGAAATGAATTTCTTGCTTGGATTTCTTTTGTATAATTTTTTTTACATGTATTACTGACATTAATTTCAAAACTATGTTTTCTTGTAGAAATAATTTATTTTTAGAAGGCCTCTGCCATCTAAATTTCTCACCAACATTTACTTTAAAATTACATGAAATTATTTTACCATCTGGCTTTGCACTGCTTTGCTGATTTTCTGTGCAACAAAGATGCAATACGGGACCACTGGTTTTTGCCATATTTCATTACAGCTGCTTTAAGAATTTCATCCTTAAAAGAAAAGAAGAGTTTTGTTTATTACAGTATTTATTTAACAGGTTTTGTTTTCAGTTGCAATCAAAAATTCTTATAAAAAGGGGCCAGGCTTGCACTAAAGGTCAATTTTGTTCCCTTTCATAACCCACCCCATTCCTTTCCCTTCTTCCTCCCTTAATGTAAGAAGAAAAATTAAATGAAATTGAAAACAGAAGATTTGGGATTGTTTACTAAGAAAACGAGGTGAGCTGGACCTTGTATGGACCAGCATGTTCCAGTAGATAAAACTGATGGAGCAGACTTCTGTGATGGCTTTTTATTAGAATATTCAGGTACAGTTATGGCTCTTGTTAATAGACATGTTCCTCTATGACTGCCAACACAACTGAATATATAACTAGCCCAATGCTTTTCAATCCTGGCAGCTTGATGATAAGTAGACTGCCAAGTCTGGCAAACACTGAACTATCCATTTGTCTCTTATTTTACTGAATGCATTATCTGTGTGAAAATGAATTCCAAAATACTTTTTGCAGTTTACCTGCTTTTTCCTTATAATTTAGATTAGACAAGATAGTAAAAAATGTCAGGTATGGATGGCTTGATTAGTATACTGCTTTGGTTCAGGCTCCATTATAGATAGTCCTCAATTTACAATTATTCATTCAGTGATCATTCAAATTTCAATGGCACTGAAAAAATTGATTGAGTGGTTTTCATATAACAGTTGCAGTATCCTGACAGTCACATGATCAAAATGCAAATGACATGTATTTAAGACAGTTGCACTGTCCCAGGATCATATGATTGGCATTTATAACCTTCCCAGCTGGCTTCCAACAGGCAAAGTCAACTGAGGAAGACAGACTCAATAACCAGAAGATTCACTTAACATCTGCAGTGATTTGCTTAACTGTGGCAAAAATGTTCATAAAATGGGGCAGAAATCACTTGTCTTACTTAGCAATGGAAATTTTGGCCTCCCTTCTGGTGATAAGTCAAAAACTACCTATATTTAAAACAAATCACTGGAAGAGCATGCACATAATTGACATAATTAAGTTTTCATTCCAAATTATACAACTTTCCAATGTTCACTCACATATTCAGTGTAAATTTATATGCAACAGCAGGAATGCACTAAGGATACAAAAATTCAAATGATGGCTAGATGGCAGCAAACACATTCAGAGAATTCTCTGCCACATCAAATACATTTTTGCAGCCCAGCTACAATATCCCTATCTGAAAATCCATGCACATTTATATTTCAGGCTCAAAATTTCCCTCTTTCAGAAAAGATCTATCATGGAATTGGCTTCAGTCTTTCTTAAGGCCCTGGCCATGTTTAATGAAACTGAAGGGAAGAGCCACAGGTTTCCTATTACGCCTTAACATCTGGCCAACAGTTTAGAAGATACAAGGCAGCCAATTTGAAACAACCATAAAAAATGGTTCGCAATCTTATCAGCACTTATGTAAGAGGGAAAAAAAACTATTCTCTGAGGATGAGCTCCAGCGCAAGTCCAAAAACTCGGTAGACTAAAATATCGGGCCCCGATGACCGACCCAGATTGGATCCTGCACTTAGGCATGCTTGATTTGTATCTACAGGACCTAAAAGCAGCACGGGTGGTTCTCCCTTGTCCTGTTTCTCCCCCCCTCAACACAAATCCTGTGAAAGGAGGTTAGGGCGAGAGTGTCCAAAGTCACCCAGGAGGCTTCAGTGGACCAAAACAACAGAATAACAGAGTTGGAAGGGACCTTGTAGGCCATCTAGTCCAACCTGCCACCCAAGCAGACCTCAAACTTGACAGAATTAAAACTTGTGGACTTCAACTCCCAGAATTCCTGAGCTAACATGACTGGAAGAGGAATTCTGGGAGTTGAAAATCCACAAGTTTTAAATCTGTCAAGTTTGAAGACCCCTGCCCTACACCATGGCAGTCCAACAACCAGCGCTTCCCACTCCTTGTCTAACTTGTTATTACGCTGGTTGTCATTGAGACCGGGAGAGGAAGTTCGTCTCCCAATAGAGAAGGAAACAGACACTGAATTTAGCTTCGCTTGTTATTTGGCGTTATGCAAGATGTAAGCTGCCATCCCGACGCAATAATAATTAAAAAAGGACCCGCTAGCCAGATCCATTTTCTCTTCCACGCAGGCGTCAGGGCCCTTTGCGCATGCGCTTGTCCGCCGCCATGGCCTTAACCGCAAAGGCCCTATATAAGAAAGAGAGCAACTCTGGCTCGAAAAAGATTGGGAAAGCGTGAAAACGTTACCTCTGTGTTCCTCCACACGCCCCCTTTTATCATGATCCGCGGCATCTTGACGGAGAGTGAGTGAAGCCGCGCAAAGGAGATAAACAATAATGGCGGAACAATCAATCCCCCCCAACGACCCGAGAGTAGCTGGAACAACTTGCACAGGCGCACTCTCGCCAAGTGAACGCCGCGGGCGAGGACTCTCCAGCAGGACTTGGGATTGGGCAAGAGGAAGGCCCGCCCTCTTGTGGGCGGGGACGGTGTCCCTTCCCTGTTTAGGCGTGCGTGTTGAAAGGAGGCTGGTTTCCCCGCGAGGCGGGATAGTTTCTCTTTTGTGCTGAAGGCTTCACTGAAGCCGGGCGGCTTTTTCACACGGCAGAGTCAAATTAATTTAACCAATTCCACGGCGCTGCTTCTTTTCTCTCCAATCCTCTCAGTACTGGTTGATGCATCGGAATTTGTTTCGATTTTCCTTACGGAGCCCGAGCCCAACATTTCTGCTCTGTAGAATTCCCGTTTTAAAGTCTTGCGTGTCCTCATTTCTCTTTGGTGTGTGCGTGTAAAAAACACTTCGCGCATCGCATAAAGTCCGACTCAAAAGTGAAAATAGCCCAACGTCCCCCGCAGTTCTTCCCAGTGGCTTCAAGTCCCTTCAGCTCCCTTCGACTTCAAAGAAGCGCGCTCCGCTCTGCCAAAGAGGCCCCATCGCAGGCGAAGTGCCCCTGACGTCGGAAACCACGGAGAAGCGCCACAGGCTTATTTGGGGAGCTTTAATCCCAAAAGCGCTCAAAACTTGAAAAGTGAGCGGGAACACTTGGCGGCTTTGGCTCGGCGGACTGAGTCGTGGCAGCGAAGGAGATGGCGCCCCTGCCTCAGGAAGGTAAGCGCCGAAGGGGTGGAGGTGGGCTTGGCCCGTCCTCCTTCCTCCTGTTTGCCTTCAGCTTGGAGAGACCCATCTCTAGAGGGTGAGTAATCGCGGGCACCCAGGTGGACAAAGCGTGACTCACCAGCTCCGGAGTAAATGTTATCAAAAACAGGGATGGGGTTCTTTAAATGCGCTTTATGTAGCGACGCAAAATAAAAATGAATAGTTGCACCCTCTGACTCTCCACTTCCAAAGGGAGAGGCTTCATCAACCAGAAAAGGCATGAATGATTCCCTTAGGATTGAGAGTTGCAGTGTCCCACTGTCAAGACACACAACAGGGACTTTGTAGCACCAAATAATCACAAAACCTAATGCATACTTAGCCGGGTTCTAACCAAATGGGCAAAAGAGGCGGAAGGAGCCAATTGGCACATAACTTGACTCACTTTGCAAATTCATAGGTGGAAATGAAGCAATAAACAGCCCCTGAAGCAAAAACCATCAGATCGGTAAATCGCTTAAACCGCCAATTTTTTTCACAGCCACTAGTTCAGTTAAAGTGAATCCTCGTTTCAGCGGAATTATTTGACTGAGGTTTTGTCCTTTTCCCGACCTCACATTAGGAATTACAATAAGCAAAAAACAATAGGGAATACATCAGGATGTTTGTACTCAGAAGTGCAAGTGTATTCCTTTCTATATGTAGTCCCCACTGTATATTTGTCATTGTGTCTTAGTCGCTCTCTTATAATCCCTTCCTCTACTATCCATCTGGTCTGGATGTGAGGCAAAGAAAAAGAAAAAGAAAAAAAAAAAGAAACACAACAGGCCAGATAAGTAAAGGATAGTAATGGCTATCACAAGACTGAGGGAAGCTTCAAAGATTGTAAATGCAGGCATTGGTCTTAAATCTGTTTTCCAACACCATGGTAATTTCAAATAATCTCTGGTTAAGGCAGTTGGTAAACAAGAACTACCTGTACAAACATCAATTTCCTTCTTTTTTTAATCATCCTGGCACTGGAATGAACAGTCCAAAAGGCAGGGCAGCAGGGAAATATAGGCAGCCATGTAATTTCCCATTTAGCAACTGCTTCACTTAACAACAGAGCTGCTGGTCACAATTGTTGCCTATTGAAGACTACCTGTAATGGAGACTGGAAGTATACTCCCTTTTGTCAGAAATTCAAAACAGTTGTATGTGTTTCATGGAAGCCTTACTGTTTAGAAGCCTAATTGTTTACATTTATTAAGGGATGACAGGATAGAAGAGTTAGGCCAGGTTTTCTGTTATTTAGTTGGGAGTATTGAAATGCTTGAACCCACAATAAAGTGAATTTTGTATCACATATTGCATTTTTTTCATTGTTTCAATTGTTTACCTGTAAAATGAATTATCAAGAATGTGTACTTCTAATACCCAAAAGACATACAAGATGTCTTAAGAAAGAACAAGTATTTTTTTAATAATCTATTTTCCAGCCTATCTTAAACTTCGTTTCTGAAACAAATACAAAGCACTGGTAAGTTTCTTAAGAACAGAAACTTTGAAAACTAAACTTTAATTATAGTAAGAACAATTCTATAAGCTTTTCCCTGTAAAAGCTCATGAAGATCTCCAAAATTATCAGCATGCTAAAATATTTTCCTTTCCTTTCTGTTGCAACAACAAAAAGTTTCTTACAAGTATTCTGTGACATATTCTTAAATCATGCAATTTCTTCCATTTTATTTTGTGTATGTATACATTTGCTCAGAGCTTTATTAAGCCAATATTCATGAAATAATTTATTGTAAAGCTACGACAACTGAGATCTATTCAATAAATCATGATTTTAAAAATTGTATTATTATAACTTGTGTTAAGTGATATATCTCTTCTGTGTTGAAGAACTCCTGAAGACTTCTAGTAATTGGTTTCTTACAGATTGTGGTATTGTAGCTCATTCTTTCATTTCATTCGTTCTCTATTGCTGCCCATCTCAATAACTCTGGGTGGCTTACAAGTCAAAAAATATACAATTAAAACATTAACAATTTTTTAAAACAATGTATCTATGAGGGGGTGTCTCATTAACATGTAAGGACTAACATCCACATGAATATTTAATTCTGTGCATATTGCTCGTTACATCAATAAAGTTTCCATTGTATAAACTATCCCAATGACATATTTGTGCCAAAAGTTTAACAGCTAAATTTGAATACATTTGAGATATTGCCTCTCTACTCAATTCTAGCAACTTTATTTTACAATTTATTTAAATGCTTGGATTGTAAAATAAAGCTGCTAGAATATATATCTGAAATAACTTCTATGCAATAGCTATTTAAACATTCAATTGAATTTTTATTGTGCCATTTTGATTTTATTGATCAATTTTCATACATACCCATTCATAAAAATTTTTCTCATGTTTAACCCCACATGCATTTTCTACTTTCTTAGAAAGCACAACAAAACATCAGGCATTGAAGCTGATTTAAATTGATTATTTTCCTTGCAATTGATCATATCACATTCATATAATAAATATGTACAGGTATATAATGTGCAGAATGAAATATTCAGTGATAACGGTTTATAGTGATTGCTGCCTCTTATCCAGACATTTTTCAATATCATCAAGAACCTGGACAGCTGCTTTAGGTATTCGGGTTCCTGGGCCAAATATATTGGAAACGCCAGAGTCATACAGGTAGTCATAATCCTATTCAGGGAGAGAAAAAGGACCATCAACATATATAGATAAGATTTTGCTAGTAAAATTCTGAGAACATGTATTGCAACATGATACTTTCATGGTGGCCTGCTGAGATGGTAGCAAGTAGGAAAACATCAAGACAGGGCTAGAACATTGATGCTCTTATTACAAATTCTCTCAATTTGCATAGCCATAGGGAGTTGCATTGCTTGAAGCCATTGAGAAATCTGCAATTTCTAAGCAAGTATTAATCTAATATTAAAAATCCTCACAAAAGTGCATATTACTTCCTGCACAAGGGGGTTACCATGATTATTAGGCCCACAGCTATTAAAGTGAAGAATGCTCAAAAGGAAAAAAAATACATTGAAAAAAACAGGCTTTGTATTTAGTATAGGTTGAGATTAGTTTCTTTGTTTATATATATTTAAAAATGATCTATGGGTACACTGTTGACTTAGACGTTTTTGTACCCAAAGGTATATTTTCCCAACTGTAACTGCAAAATATTTTTCTTGGTAATTTAATGAATGTGAGAGGTTGTTGTGCAGCTGGATATATTTTGTACCTTTAGTATTTTGAAAATATTTAGCATCAAGTTCTTGATGTTGATTATTTAACAACATATGGTAGATGGAAAAAAAATCCTTGAATGATGTTAACAATTTGTAAGAAATGGAAAAGATAGAAAAATGTAAAAACAACCCACCAATACACCACAAACAAATAATTCCAGATATAAAATAAAACTTCTCCCAAAGTTTATAGTAACAAGGGGAACTGAATAATCTCAATACCTGAGGAGGGATGACACCTCCACACATGACAAGAATATCAGGACGTCCAAGGCTGTTTAGCTGTTTGATAAGTTCAGGAACAAGAGTTTTGTGACCGGCAGCTAGTGTGCTCACCCCTACACAGTGCACATCAGCATCTACAGCTTGCTGGGCCACTTCAAGGGGTGTCTAAGCAAGAAATAGCAAATAAAGAACATGTCAAAATTAAGTGTGTATTTTTCATATACAACAGCAGAAATGAAACTGTATGAACTACTGTAGCAAACTGGTGCTTTTTTCTAAATTCTTTTTTTCTAACTATTTAATATTTTAGCATTTTTTGAGTCACTTGGGAGAGAACATAGTTGATTCAATCAATCAATCAATCAATCAATCAGAAAGCAAGCATCGAAACAATTAAAAGGCTAAATACCTGGAATAGTGGACCTATATCTACATCAAAACCAAGGTCAGCAAATCCTGTAGCAATTACTTTGGCTCCTCTATCATGGCCATCCTGGCCCATTTTAGCAACCAAAAGACGTGGTCTACGACCTTCCCGTTCCAGAAACTTATTAACTCTAAAAAAAAAAAAAAAAAAAAAAAATAGCAGACAGAGTACTACAGAACTACTAAACATGTTCACTGTTAATCCAAGAAAATAAAAAAAATTCATTAAGGAATCACATTGGGGGTGCACTATTGCAAGAACTACACATGCATTGTAATGGCATGTTGAGGGCTGCACTGCAAAAGAAGAGGACAAGATTTTAAATTGAGTGAGCTATTTTTGAATTTTCTATGATTTATTATTTTCTTCCTCATACACATATCTCCAATATAAATGCAGGTAGACCCTGACTTATTACCATAATTGAGCTCCAAATTTCTGTTGTGAGACAGGTGTTAAGTGAATTTAGTCCCATTTTACAACATTGCCACAGCTGTTCAGTTAGCAACACAGCTAAGCTTCCCCATTGGCTTTGCTTGTCAGAAGATAGCAAACAGTGATCACATGATCCTGGGATACTGTAACCATCATAAATATGAATCAGTTGCCAAGTATCGGAATCTTCATCATGTGACGATGGAGATGGTACAACAGTCATAAGTATGAAAAACGGTAATAAATCACTTTTTTCAGGGCCATTGTAATTTCAATTGGTCACAAAAAACTATTTTTAATCAAGGTCTACCTGCACATAGATTCTCTTCTTAAGAAAAAAGGTAACATGACTTGTTATTTCTAGCTCCAGCTATGTGTGTATGATATAGTTTGTTGTATTGATTTTATACTGGTTGGGTTTTCATTCTTGTTTTTTACTAATATCCAGGGGTGGGTTTCTACAGGTTCTGTCCACCTCTGTAGAACCGGTAGCTCTGAAGAGCAGCAGACATAGAACCGGTTCTATGTCTGCTGATGTTTTTGCCCACCCACCCCCCTGGGTTCTTATCTGACCTTTATTTCCTGCTGTTTCAACTTCAGCTGCCATGCGAGGCACAGCTGCAGTTAAAAAAGCAGAAAAAAAGGAATTTTTCAAAGGCTGCTTCTCTGCACTCAGCATGCTGATGACGATTTACAGGTGTGCCTGCGTGCAGTGTAGCACATCGTAAATCACCTAACCTCATAAATCACCGAACTGGTAGTTAACCCTGTTGGATCCCACCCCTGCTAATATCCCCCCCCAATTATTGTTGGGCAGTCTTGTGCATTTTAAAAATAGTGCAGAATTGAGTCACTATTAAGGCATATTAAGGTCATTAGTAAATGTAATCGTTTCAACTAATGAGTGTAAAGATCGCTGAGGGCTTATGTTCTTTTGGAACAAAGAAATAAAGCCAGTTTGCTCTAGTCTGAAGGTACCAGGCTTGAAACCTGGAGACTGAGTTCTAATCCCACCTTAGGCCTGAAAGCTGGCTGGGTGATCTTAGGCCAGTCAGTCTCTCAGATCAATATACAGGAGTGTTGTTGTGGGGAACATAGGATGAGAAAGGAGTATTAGGATTTGTTCACTGCCTTGAGTTATTTATGAAAGTAACTGGCAGAATATAAATAAATAATAAAGCAAAGGAGAAGGAGGGATAAAGGATTGGATGTAGAGGATTGGGTATAGAAAAGTAGAGAGAGAAAGAATAGGAGAAAATTGAGGGAAATAGGTGAAAGGTAGCGGAAAAAAGCTGATAGAAAGAAATCTAGTGAATATATAAGCAGGAAAAAGAAGGCTTTAAGGAAACCAAGAGACATGGAAGTTTATGTCACACACAACCTGGAAGCGATAGGGTTATCATTTGCAATGTACAGACATAACTTTGAATTGTGTAAACACCATGAGCATAAAATTACATGTACATATCAGTTTTAAAACTGAAAATTAAAAGATTTTTTAAAATCATATTCAAAATATACTTATTTGCTAAATTTTAATTTCAAAATATTGAATATTATCAAATCTCATTAGGAAAATAATTAAATAAATGAATTATTAAACAATTAAATTAAAAAAATAATGTGGAGTTCCTATATAGAAACATTTAAAAAATGTAGATATGCAGAAAGATACAAAAGCTTTGAAGATATTAGTGGATCTTACAAAATTTTGAAGAATTACATTTACAGAAGAAATATAACTGGCTTAAAGAAACGAAAAGAGAGAAAGCAACCTCCTAATTTAACAATGAAGAGAAAATATATAAGACCTAAGATAAACTAGTTAGTCCTCAACATACAACCATAGGTTGTGCCAATCATTGAGTCACCATGTGACTGCTCAATTTTATGATTTCTTGCAGTGGTCATTAAGCAAACTCCATGGTTGCTAACTAAACGTGGTGGTTGTTAAGCAAGCCTAGTTAGCCATTTTTGTTGGAAGCTGGAATTAAACACTATTTTCAAGTAAAAAAAGTCATAAATGACTGTCACACTGCCAAACAGCTGTAAATATGGGCTGGTTGCCAACCACCCAAAATGCAATTGTGACATCATGCAGGGTGGCCATTGGAACTTTGAAACGGGGGTTGTAAGTTCCTTTTGGAGATCTCTCTTTGCTTCCCTAAGCAAGCAGTCGTAAGTCAAGGACTACCTGTAGAGAATTTGAGCTCTTGGAAAATAATACATAAACACAGAGGAAAAGAGTACATGTCTTACCTGCTGATGGCTTGAGTAATCTCATCACTCTCCCCAAATTCCTGACGATATGCGCCACTCACCATGCGATCACTGGCTCTATGCTCACCAAATACCTTTTTCATTGCATCTGTTATTTCACCAACTGTACATCTGAAGCAAGTATACAATCAAAACATTAGATTTATTTCTTTTGAAGAGATATAAACTATCAAAATATAACATTAGCAAAAGCTATATTCTTGTACAACAACAGCATACTCTACGAATAGCATACTTATCTACATGTTCTCCACTTCAACAATATTTAATTTATAATAGTTTACATATATATCTTGATTTTTGTTCAAAAATGCAAGGTAATATATACCATGCTCCCGCTTCTCATCTACCCCCCCTGGAAAAAAAACCTATGAGGTAGGATGGGCTATGACTGGCCTAAGATCACTCAGTGAAGTTCTGCTGTTAATCCACACTTTAATTGCTAAACCCCACTGGCTCCTATTAAGTTGTGTGGCATTAAATACTCGGGGAGAACTGTTTTTGAAGTGATTGACAGAAATTTACTGTTTTCAGCAGAATGCATTACAATGAATAGCATGATTGAGATATGTGATTATATCAGTTTCTCAGCTACAGTATAGGCTTTTACAAATCTTGTGTAGGCTTTCATGTCAACATGGTGGCAGGCATTCAGAATTACAGATGAATAAATTAAAACTAGGTTTTAGCACATCCAATTGCTAAATCTAGCCTGGTGCCTTAACCACTAGACCAAATTCTTTAGTATATAATCTCATCTGTCTCTGGAGATTCTCAATCATCCAGGTCATGGTTATTCCAAAGGTTCTCCCCCACCCCCAAAGGCAACTCTGCTTTGTTTTTCCTTAATGTTTCACTTCTCATCCAAGAAGCTTCTTCAGTTCTGCAGTAATCTCTTTGATATATATATTTGGAAGCAATGGACAAACAGGTATTTTAAAGGTAATTTATCTCCATTTTCCTTCATACCATGAAAACCTTGGGTGAGCCTCAAATGTTGCTTTGCAGATTGAGTGTAGGGAGGCACTGTGCTTGTCAACTCCACACAAGGTGAACCAAAACAGTACTCTAAAGTCCATTTAGTTATTTGATAAATGTGCACAATCCTTTCCACCTACCTTGTGCGTGCAGCTTCTACTGCCAGGGCTAGCAAGTTACCTTGTCTTGTAGCTGCACATTCAGTTAAAGCAGTGAGACACTTCTGGGCTGCTACTTCATCTCTGCAAGCTTTCACCTTTAAGGAAAAAAGAAAAGTGTAAACAGTATTCTTGGTGCTATGGGGAAGGGGAACCAGATTTTTGCATGTATTTTCTATAAACCTGCACTGTAAAATTCCAAATTGCATACATTTACAGTCATCTGGAAGCTTCCATAGAAAAGATCATAACTGGATAGCTGGGGCTAAGAGATTGCACTAGAAACCTCCAGCACAAAACTCAGCCATAAATAAGGAACAGCTCATATAAAGCACTCTTAAAAAGGATATGAAGCATTCTTTTTTAAAAAATATCATCTGTTGCTGAGCAATTTGACCATAACCCTATTGTTGAGAAAATGAAAAACAAAACATCTTTTTTTTTTCTTAAAAAAAAATGCACAGCATTTACCTTTATCAGCTTCTCAATCTGTTTGTTACGGACCGATGTATTATCAATTGCCAAAACTTCAACAGTCTCTTCTTTTTCTAACTGGTATTTGTTTACTCCAACAATTACTTCTGAACCTGTTATTTTTCAAATATTTAAATAATAATAATTTTTGTTATCCTGTATTTGCAGTCAGCTGAAATCAGTTCACAAAGTGAAATCAGTTCAAATTGAAACATATTCAATATAAAATAGATTTTACAGACACAGAGACACACACATACAGAGAAGTTGAGGTATTCCAATGTACGGTGCATTCAGAAAGTATTCAGGCCCCCTTCACTTTTGTCTGTTTTGTTATGCTACAGCCTGATTCCTCAGTTGTTGAAATTCATCTATTTTCTCATTAATCTACATTCAGTATCCCATAATGACAAACTGGAAACAGAATTTTAGAAATCTCTGTGCATTTATTAAAAACAAACAAATCTGAAATATTACATTGGCATAAGTATTCAGATCAGTGGTGGTATTCAATTTTTTTTACTACCAGCTCTGTGGGTGTGGCCTGGCTTGGTGGGAATGGCTGGGGAAGGATTCTGTAAAATCTCCATTCCCTCCCCACTCCTGGGGGAAGGATACTGCAAAATCCCCATTCCCTCCCCACCCCCACTAACCTGCTTTCCAGCTCCGTTCTCCTGTGCGGGGCAACCAAAGAAGACCCAGCCAATCAGCTGGGACTCGGGAGGCAGTGAATAGATGGGGGCGGGGCCAGTCAGAGGTGGTGTTTGCCGGTTCTCTGAACTACTCAAAATTTCCGCTACCAGTTTTCCAGAACTGGTCAGAACTTGCTGAATACCTCTGATTCAGACCCTTTACTCAGTACATTGTTGAAACACATTTGTCAGCAATAATAGCCTCAAGTATTTTGGGGTATGATGAGACAAGCTTTGCACACCTGTATTGGGAGGATTTTCTGCCATTCTTCCTTGCAAATCCTCTCAAGCTCAGTCAGGACAGATGGCAACTGTCAGTGGGCAGTTATTTTCAGGTCCCTCCAGAGATATTCCATACGGGTCAACAGGGCTCTGACTGGGCCACTATAGGACATTCACAAAGTTGTCCTTATGCCATTACTGTGTTATCTTGGCTGTGTGCCTAGGATCATTGTCAGATCGGAAAGTGAACTTTCAGCCCAGTCTAAGGTCCTAAGCACTGTGGAACAGGTTTTCATTGAGGATATCCCTGTACTTTGTTTCATTCAGCTTCCCCTCAACCCTGACCAGTCTCCCAGTCCCTGCTGCTGAAAAACACCCTCACATGATGCTGCCACCACCATGTTTCATTCTTGGGATGACATTGGACAGGTGACAAGCGGTGCCTGGTTTCTTCCAGACATAACATTTACAATTAAGGCCAAACAGTTCGATCTTGGCATCATTAAACCATAAAATATTTTTCCTTGCAGTCTGAGAGTCCTTCAGGTGCTTTTTTCCAAACTCTAGCAGGCTTTCATGTGTTTTGCACTAAGTAGAGGCTTCCGTCTAGCCACTCTGCCATAAAGTCCAGAAGGGTAGAGGGCTGCAGTGATGGTTGTCCTTCTGGAACTCAGTCCCATCGCCACACAGGAGCTCTGGAGCTCAGTCAAAGTGACCATCGGGTTCTTGGTCACCTCTCTTACTAAGACCTGATTGCTCTGTTTGACCAGATGACCAGCTCTTGGAAGAGTCCTGGTTGTGCCAAATTTCTTCCATTTGAGAATTATGAAGGCCACTGGAGTCTTAGGAACCTTCAGTGCAGCAGAAATTTTATTGTAGCCCTCCCCAGATCTGTGCTTGCAATAATCCTGCCTCTTGAGCTCTATAGGCAATTCCTTTAACCTCATGGCTTTTGGTACAGTGTGTGAGAGGCTTTCTATAGAGAGGTGTGTGCCTTTCCAAATCATCTCAAATCAATTTAATTTACCACAGTTGGACTCCAATCAAGGTATAGAAACTTGTCAGCATCGATCAAGAGAATTGGGAGACACTTGAGCTAAATTTCAAGTGTTGTTGCAAAAGGTCTGAATACTTATGCCAATGTGATATTTCAGTTTTTTTTCTTTTTAGTAAATTTACAGACATTTCTAAAAATCTGTTTTTACTTCGTCATTATGGGGTACTGAGTGTAGATTAATGAGAAAAAAAGTGAATTTCAACAACTGTAGAATCAGGCTGCAGCATAACAAAATTGACAAAAGTGAAGGGGGTCTGAATACTTTCTGAGTACATCCCTTTATTACAAATGATCAGACATCTATGCTTCAAATATAAAACATGTAACATTTAATGATAATTGAAGGTTGCATTATAGTGGTTAATCAGAAATAAGGCACTGATCAGTCACTACTCAGTTCATATATTCTCTAACACAGAGTTATCCAGCCTTAGCAACGTTAAGACTTGTGGACTTCAACTCCCAGAATTTCTCAGCCTTCTAGGAGTTGAAGTCCACAAGTCTTAAAGTTGCCAAGGTTGGAGACCCCTGCTCTAACAGCAGCACCTAAGAATGGTTTTTGCAGCCAAAGCAAACCCCATTCATGACTCTTCACTTTGCTCCATTAATATTTCAATGCATAATAATTTGATTTGTTAAACTGAAACTATACTGAGTATGCAATTAAGGAGACATTCTATTGCAATTTTATAAATTTTCCTTTGGAAATTAATTACAAATCTTAAAGAATAATTTAATTACCACCAAGAAATAACAGAAATTATTAAATCTCTAAAACATGAACTAAATCTCTAAAATATAAGATGTATATTTAGCTTTCTGCACTAATCTATTAAAGTTTATAATGATGCCTTTTAAATAAAGTTTTTCTGGCTTTTCTCACTGAAACTGTTCTCACATAAAAATGTGATTTTGAAGGCTGGAAGAGATTTGATTAGTTGTACAAGTTAATAACTAGTTTCCTAGTTAAAAGCTGATGCAAAAGTATTGACTGTGTCTCTAGCATATAAACTGCAGATGACATTACCTTTGATCATCAATCTTGCACAATCTCGTTTTATAAAAAAATTGCCAATTGTTATATTGAATAGATGTTTAGAAAATATAGAAATCAGCTGTAATGGTTTTGCTCAATGCAGAAGATGTCTCTGATATGAGAAAGTAAGAATTCCTCTGTTTATAATCAATATATATAGTACTCCTTTTTTCTCAAATATATATACAATATTATAAATTGAATTATCATTTCTTTTATGTACTAAAGCAACATTATTTTGCGCTGTTTTCTTTATATGATATAAACTTTAAAAATTGTGTCTAAAAATGAAAGCAATAGAATGTTTTTAAAAAAACATTTTATACACACATTTATTAATGTGTGGTTAATATGTGCCTATGGAAGTAATTAATTGTAGACTCAAAATTATCAGTTTATGTATGGGTAGAAGGAACTATATGTTGCATTTCTATTCGCCAGGGAGAAAATAGAATCTGTGGAGGCCAAAACCGGGCCTGTATTCATGTATAAGATGCAGACATTTCCACCCACTTTTTTTTTGGGGGGGGGGGGGATGTCATATTCTGAAAAATACGGTATAGCATTTGTCTTAATAAGCTGTTGAGCAGGAAAGAATCCAAATAATTACTTAAGTGAACTTAAAGGCTTTGATCTGTCCAAAAGATTTGACAATGGGAGTGGAAGAGACCAGTCTTTATTCTTCTATTTTAAAAGTTATGCAATACTGCTTGAGAAACATAAATAGTCTCATTGGTCATGCACAACTAACAGCAGTCTTCATGCCAAACAATACAATGTTCTAATGCTCTTCTTTTATTGGCAATGTTGCTAAAAAGCCTCAACTTCTTCACTGTTTTAAACTTATTTTGGAACAGAATTTTAAAACATACATGAAGTTGGAATCAAATTCATGCACATATATTAACTTCAGTGAGATAAGAGAAGATCTTTTAAATGCTTACACAGTTGAAGAATAAATAATTCTGGTTTTCTTACCAGAATCAATCCTGGCTTGTCTTCGAGCAGCACATTCTTCAATGTGAAGTTTTGGTATTCCTTCAGCTACAGCTTTGGCCATTCCACCCATTTCCTCAATCTCATTGATGAGCTAACAAAGAAAAGTTGTTAAGTGTGCTTATCGTTTAATATAATATTTAATAAAACATTTAGGCTCCCTATGAAAGAAAAAATAGTTACCCAAAAGGAATAAATAAGAACCTTCTTTATAAACAAGTAGTTAATATAAGAAAATACAATTCCTAATTCTTAAAAGGATTGATGTCCTAGTTTAAAATTAGCTCCAACTTAAAATGAAAGAACTTGAAAGTTCTTCTACAAATGGCACACACCTAACCCCCAAATTCAACATATTGAGTATTTCTTATAAAGTTTATGTTCTTAACTTAGGCTTAACTGGTTTCTCTCTTAATCCACAAACCTGTCTTTGGCCTAAAGCCAGTTGGAGTGACTTGAGCCCAGTTGCAGTCCTTTTCAGTTACAGGAAGAAAATGGTAAACTACTTCTGAAAACATTTCCAAGAAAACTGTGTGGATTTGTACAAAGCCATCTGCTGACTCATCAGTGAAAAAGTAAAATTTATTGCTAGCTAATCAGAAATTTGGGGTGGGGGTTTGTTGGGTAAATAGGAATCTATAAAGCTGTTAAAGAGGGAATATATCAATATAAAGAAGCGAGCTAGTAATTGTTTCTGAGCTCATATAAAAGATTATCAGCATCTTCTTATTACCCATTCTCTATAATAAACAAACTGACCTTTAAAGCGGCTTCATAAACATCATTGGTAAGAGATTCCATTAGAAATGAACCACCCCATGGATCAGCAACTTTGGGTATGCCAGATTCTTCTTGTATTATTATCTGTGTATTCCTTGCAATTCGTGCACTTTTCACAGTTGGCAGTCCTAAAGCTTCATCAAATGAATTTGTATGCAAGGACTGGGTACCAGCAAACACAGCTGCCATTGCTTCAATTGTGGTGCGGATAATGTTATTGTAAGGATCCTATTACAAAAATTGTAACTTTACTTTAAAAAAATGAAACTGATGCAGAGGAATACATGTTCTCTTTTAAGCACAGCGATGTTCTGGGTAATATTACTGAATTAGACTTTGACATCAGTTATATCCTGGAAATTTTAACAAAATTGTATTTAAAAATATACTACAGTAATATAACCAGATGAAAGTGAGTCATTTACATTGGTTGGGATGCTCCCAATGATGGAATGGAGGGTGGGGAATCAGAAGATCAAATACATTATAAAGGAAACTATTTTTATAAGACATCTTAAAGTAGCTTTTCTTAACATGATGTCCTTCAGATGTGCCAAGAACACTCCCCAGAATTCCTACCTAAATTGCCATTTGGCTGTCTTAGAACATATCTACTAAATCTGTACATAACTTCAAAAGCACTTCAAAAAGTATATTAGCATAAAGAAAGCATCCTTTCTTAGAGTATTAAAGACATCACATCCTCTGGAAACCGAAACTGAAGGAGATGCTTCAAAATTGTCTCTGATTGTCTGTGAATCTGTCCGCTTACAACAATACTAATGCTAAGATTGGTAGAGAAGCAACTAATAGTCTTCAAATCAATGACCCAAAACTCTAGTTGCTTTAAGGTTTTAAGGACAGGTGCTTCTCTCACTAATGTGAAACACCACTTTTTTATACTCTGAACAGTTCTAACACTAACAGTTCTAACAGTTCTAACAAAGTGAAGAGTCATGAATATATTGAGTGCCTAAGTTCTCTTTCTTCATTTATAAAATTTTAATCAAAAATATGTATTACTATGTAACGTGTCCACAAACACAAGATATTAGGCTGCAGGAAAATCTGGGAATATCTTTAATGATGGATGAAATAATTAAAATGCTTGTGGAGTGTAATGCTTTCATTTTTTTCTTATCCCAGCCATTATGCTGCAGATTCCAGGAAACTAACTTCCCCAACTCCTCCTGTCCTCAGCTGATCCCAGAATCTTCTCCAAATTCAGCAATGGTGGTTTGGGGGTATGAATTGGATGTACCTTAAGTTATAAACAAAAGTGCTTTCAGGAAAGCAACATGTTGAGTCTACACCATATTTACTTCTTTAAAATTTGCATGTCATCATAACTGATACTCTGATTTGTACCTGCTCAGTTAGAGACCATCCTGAAGTCTGACAATGAGCTCGAAGGAGAAGTGATTTGGTGTCCTTGGGCTGAAACATTTTCTCTATTAAGTGAGCCCAAAGCCGTCTCCCAGCTCTTAATTTAGCTATTTCCATATAGAAGTTCATACCAATTCCCCAGAAGAAAGAAAGCCTGCAATAAAATAACTTAAGATCATATCTGGAATAAATGGTAATATAAAACTTGTGTATTAAATAAACAACATAGTTCAATTTAATTTTTTTTAAATCCTCATTTTCTTTAGGCTAGTAAAACTACAGGCAATTTACTAAAAGATAACGGAATCATGGCCTATAAACTGGTTTTTTTCTACGTAATTTCTATGTAAGAACAACAAATACTATATTTTCAGAGGGATGGAAACTATATGTAGTCCACAGTGAAAGCAGAGGTTTTATGAACGTTTTAATTTAAATTAGTAGTATATTGTAATATAGTACTTTCACCTACAAATGTAATTAAGCCACAAACAAATATATAAAGTTAATAATTATATCTTATTGAGTTACTTATGCACTGGGAATCCTGATAGGAAGTATAGAACAGAACAGACTGAGGATAAAAAAGACACCTCCCCACCACCACCAAAAAAACAACAACCTAAATTAATATACCTTGGTGCAAATTCATCAATGGTAAGACCAGCTTTAAGTCCAGTTCTACAGTACTCCAAACCATCAGCTATTGTATATGCTAACTCCAAAATAGCATCAGCTCCAGCCTCTTGCATATGGTATCCACTGATAGAAATAGAATTAAATTTTGGCATGTGCTGTAAGAAAATACGTACAATTTTTTTTGTAACAAACACTGATCCTTATACACGATAACCACGTGGTAATTAAAAGAAACAAAACTAAGCAATACCTTTGATGTATATTGGAAGATGTCAGCAATTATTTGCATTGATGGTTCTGGTGGGAAAATGTACGTATTTCGAACCATGAATTCTTTCAGTATATCATTTTGTATTGTCCCTGTCAGCTTGGATTGAGGCACTCCTTGTTCTTCCCCAGTAACAATGAATGTAGCTAGGATAGGAATTACCGCCCCATTCATTGTCATTGAAACAGACATTTTCTCCAAGGGAATTCCATCAAAAAGAATTTTAGTATCTTCTACTGTGTCAATGGCAACTCCAGCCATTCCAACATCACCCCGAACTCGAGGATTATCCGAGTCATAACCACGATGAGTTGCTAAATCAAATGCGACGGATAAACCCTGCTGACCAGCTTGAAAATGAAATTAATAATTTAGTAAAAATATAAAATATGACCTATATAATTGTATCTTCATCTTTGTTAGATGGAATTTAACTGAAAAGGCGTATTAGTTGTTCAAAACAATACAGACCAAAGGATTCACATTAAAACTTAGGAAATAATTCAATGTTGCATAAGCAAGTGTCCAATTACACAAGGCTTTCTTTCATCCTGCAGCCCCTCAATTTTCATCGAAGGTTCCCCAATCTTCCAGTGTTGAGTTATTCTGAGTAAGCATAGAGGGCTATTTGTTGTGGCAGAACTGTTCTTTCTATTTCTGTTATTGTAAGCAATTTTATTAATGAAATACATCTAAATATTTAAATAGGTTTCATATTATGTATTTACAGGAACTGCAGTTGAGCAATTTATTATTGAGCAGAGAAAATATTCAACGCTTCTCAGACTTTCTAATGAAATAAATTACATCTTTTCTGAGCAAATACTTACAAAAACATAAAATGTAAACTGAATGCTGTATATGATAATCCTGACAGGGTGCTATTAATTCCTAAGCAACTTATTTCTGATATTAATTACATATAAATATGTAAATAAATTAATATAAGTAAATATAGTTACAACTGAGAGCTAATTTGATTTAGTGGATAAAAGCACCTGGCTAGCAATTGGGAGACCATGAGTTTTAGTCCTGCTTAGGCATGAAGACAGATAGGTGATTTTGGACTAGCAACTTTCAGCTCTAGGATATAGAAAGAGAAACCTACTTCTAAAAAGGTGGTCCCCGAGACTGCAGGGATTCATCTGGAAGTCAAGACTGACAGGTACAAAAATATATTTAAAATTTACAACCACAACATTGTCCTTAATGCCCATTTCCTAAGGAACACGTCTCACCCTTGATGTTATCTTTATAAAACTTGTTGCTTTCCTCCACGGTACTGAAGCCAGCATATTGGCGGATGGTCCAAGGCCTGTATGTATACATGGTAGGATAAGGACCTCTAGTGAAGGGCTTTACTCCAGGTAATTCTTCAGGAAAGCCTGCTGTGTCACTTGTAGAATACAGTGGTTTGATGGCAATTCCCTCTGGAGTGTGCCATATCAACTCTTCAGGGCTTTTGCCCTTTAGCTGCTTTTTAGCCATCGCAGCCCATTCAGGATGGAGTACATGCTGATGCAGCAAACGCCAACTCGGTCTAACGGCAGGAACACTTGCTTCTCTCCTGCAATGTAAGGGCCAATGACGCTGAAGTCCATTCTTGACCCGTAACATTTTCTACTAAAGCAGTTGTGAAGATGTTCCTGTGTTCCAAGAGCTGGGTAAAATTAATGAAGCATTTAGTTATTTTTAAGAAACCCAAAGTGGTAGATCTTCCTTTTATATGCTTCCATGTTAAACTAGATGCATCTGTTTTCGTTAATGGGAAAAAGAACAAGTTGTGATTTACAGACTTCTGAGATTCTCATTTCAAAACAACTTTCAAATTTGTTTTGCACAGACTGTCTGTCTCTTTTAACTATTTTCTCAAGTTGACAACTCAGAACCTAAGTGCAATTCAGTAATAGCACACCTACAAATAATCTCAACAGATTGGGAGCACAAAAGGACCAGGAAGACCGAGGATTGTTTAGAGCTATTAGGCAAGCTACTTGATATCTCCACCTATCAGAATATGGATTGAACAAAGAAAGAAAAACACTGCCTGCTTTCTGTTCACCTGAACAGGTGACCTCGGTGAAAATGCCATAGGGAAGAATAGCTGTTAGGGTCACTGGGTGAGAGCAATACCTATATACTAAGTTAATAATTTTTAAAAAACCAGCTTTATAAACTCATGATGCCTTTTTTAAAAAGGCATCCAACTTTTGATCAAACATAAAAAAGTAAAACGTGTGAATCTTGAGTATAAAGGGTAATTATAATTTTACAAGGCAAGTGAGGAGATTTGGCACTTAAGAGACTTGCATTCATACTTCCCAGTCCCCGACAAGGAAAATGTATAGGTTTGCAGACACTTCCTTGCAAAAGAGGAAGACGGGTAAGAGCGGTGGTAGCTCCGAGATAGGAGAACCGATTGATACGTCAAAGTGAACCAACACAAAATCACAAGCTGTGTTCAGACGGCACACTGACCCATAGAAACGTATCTATAATTTCTACAATTAGCCTAATTTTCTCGGGCACCTTGACACAATAAAGGAATCATCGTACAAGCGGAGTTCATGCAGCCCGCAAAACTCAAATTGGCCTAACAGTGGTTTGCGACTCCGTGTGTTAGGTTAAAAAAAAAAAAAGGACCTCAGCCACATCAACCAGCACTTGCGGCTGCCCAAACAATACCTACTTAAACGACGCCACCACTTTTCACTGGCGAGGAAGATCGACTTCTTTGCGCAGACGCCGTTGCGTTGAAAGCTGACCCAGACACGCAAGCGCAATTGCCCTCCCTTAACGCCTGCGCACTAACATCTGTGGGGAAACTCAGAACGCCCGCAATTTTTGAATTCGCACTACCGGCCAATCTGGAGAGGGAGTAACCGTAGAAATAAAAACGGTGAGTTCTGGAATAGGTGGGTAGCTTGTACTGTGGCAACTGGAATTTCAGTACGGAGTTCGGAAGGTAGAAGAGCCCAGGCTTTCAGCCGCTGCGGATTACTTCTGTAGGATAAATTGCAATGTATGGTACTCCCGTGTGGTGTTTGAAAAGCGAATGGGGTTGTTGGAGCATTGTAATCTCGGTGCTGCATGAGGCAAAATAGCTGCGGTGGCGTTTTCAGCCGGCGAAACCGTATTCAAAGGACAGGTTTAAGTGGAGGTGTGCTTCGCCATGTTTGGCTGAATAAAGCATAGGTTTTTAAAAATATTTGTTATGAAAATATATGTGTCGGCCATCTCGCCAAGAGGCGAGTCCAGGCGACTTACAATAAGTAAAAGCAACAATACAGCATTAAAATATTACAATAACAAATATTGGCATTAAAATTAACTATAAAATTGACGAAGATGGTGAGAAAGACTGCCTGCAATTTGGCAGTTTGAATCTCGCCACGCTCAAAGTTGACTCAGCCTTCCATCCTTCAGAGATCGGTAGAATGAGGACCCGGATTGTTAGGAGTAATATGCTGACTTTGTAAACTGCTTAGAAAGGGCTGTAAAGTGGTATATAAGTCTAAGTGCTATTGCTATTAGCCACCTCCAGCAACTCCATCGGGAACAATTAGCAAGCCCTTTCAGAAAGTTGCCAAAGTTAACCCATTGTTTACAAGGCTGCACAAGGCTCCAGTGTCTTTGCTTTGTAGAGCGGGCTATGTTTCTGGACCCCCAAAATGGCAGAGTGATGGAGAATCCTACTCCTCACTGGTGACCTTATTAATATCATTAAAAGTAGCTGGGACATTGGGAAATGAAATGCAAAATTCTCACTTCAATTATAGGGGTATTTGGACAGCAGAGATTCCACTGGAAATTGTTATAAGTAGGCTTCTGTGACCTGACAAGCAGAGTCCATGGGGAAACCAGAATCATTTAATAATCCTGTTATTCAACTGCAGTAATTCACTTAACTATGGTGAGAAAGGTCGTAAAATGGGGTGAAATTCACTTAACAAATGTTTTACTTAGCAACAGAAATTTAGGGCTCAATGGTCATAAGTCAAGTATTATCTGTATTATTAGCTTTTTATGTCACCTTTTTATATATGACTGAATACATACCTGTCTACTCTTTTTTTTTTTTTACTGATACAGCTGCATGTGTATTAGATAGGCATTGTTTATAAATATATACTATTGAAGTAGACTGGCCACTAGGAGGTATAGATGCTCTACAATAAACTTGCTGAATAGTTATTATATCAAGGGCTCAGTACTTTTGAAGTGTTGGTGAAAAGAACGGGGCTATATCTATATATTTTTTTGGTGTGGACACCAATTTTCTGTCCCACCCTTTTAAAACTAATTCTATTATAAAGCAAACACAGCAAATGCTGAGAATCAGTCATAAGATGAAGTACCTATTTTTGTAAGAATTTATTTTTATATAGTTTACTGAGCTATTGAAATCCTTTATTGGACATAATGTAGTGTTGGAAGAAATATCCTTCTGGGTTCAGTTCCAAGTGGGGAAAAAGACACTGGAAACATGGAGGCTGTTTGGAAAGATGGTTTAATGGTGGACAGGACCACATGGCCTGGATCTCCAGAGTGAAAAAGGAAGGATAATCACATGCTTAAAGGTGAAGGAAGAGATCAAGAAAAGGGCTGAGGTGCTGAGAGTGCCTGGGTTTTATAACCTTTGTTGGAATTTGAATTGAAGCTTGTTTCTAATTGGTTGTCAGACTCCCATGAGGCCATGCAGAGGCAACTCTGTAGGCTGTCCTGAGTTCCAGGCTTGGTTGAGCCTTGCTGGATGATGCACTGAAAGGGCTTTGGGCTATTGCTATAGTTTTACTTGGAGATCTTTGTAATGTAAAGTATTCTGGCCCAGGCCTTAATGGCCCACCCATTAACAAAGGTGGGGGTCAGTTTCTGCTTCTGAGGTGAGTTGCTGTTTCTGAGTTTCTACTCTTTTTAGAGGAAATATTCTGCCTTTTTAATATTTCCCAGGACATTTCAATTTTCTAGGAGCGGGGTGGGTGCCAACTTCCTATAATAGGTAAAACAAAAGCAGAAGCCATTGAGTGAATATGAACTTTATATGGGGATTTCAGTTCTGATTACTGGTCTCTGTGAACTAAAATATAGCAAGACATGTTGCTATATATCACCATGTGTTCTTTTGCAATGAATTAGAGTAACCTCATCACTTAATGAGTCCTTTGTAGCTAAATGTGAAGAAAAAAATAATGAATTTGTGTTGTCTTCCAGAAAAATTATATGTTGCTGAGCAGTTTCAAAAAATGATAAGCTGTATCAGCAACTATCATAGAAATATGTCCTGATGTAAAGTAAATGCTGTTGATCATTATTGGGGCTTTACAGTGAATTTGCAGTGTATTGTCACAAAGGAAGCATGGCACTTGGTCATTTGAAGCACATGCATTTCAGCATAGTTCCTTCTAGGATTTTGCAAATGAAGAGTTTTACTTTGCTGAAAAAGTTATCCTGTGTTGGGTTCAGCATTATGTACATAAGTGCTATGGAAAAGACTGGAAACAGCTGGATCAAATCTTTCAGAGAGCATTATTTGGGGGAGGATGCTTTTCTTGTACTGCATGGTTTGAGAAGTGCCCTTCAGATCCTTTGCACAGCACTAATAATTTACAGTACTGCATAATTCTAAGTTTATCTAGTTAGAAGTATAGTCCAGTGAATTATATGGCATTTAGGGACCACAGTGTGAGGACTATTTAGTAACTTAAATCATCTTTCTCTTTAAAGCTGTTTATTAGTATGCAATAAGATGCAATAAGGAAATCAAATCAAATTATGTGGGTAAAGATGATATTTGATATGATTGGAGAGAACATTTTAGACCCAGTATGAGAATGATTGCAGTAATTACCTTAGAAATAAGATAAAAAATTGTAACATTTCATACATACTACATAAAATGCCTATTTATAAAGGAAATTTGTAAAGAATGGCAGAAGAAAGCTTCAGACAGAAGAAAGCCCTGCTATTTGGTAGAACTTGTTTCCAGTGACATAACAGGAATGATAAAAGTAAAGAGTAAGATTGTGAGTGGAGATATTTAAATGCATAAAAAGGTTAGCATAAGCTATCATGCAGGTTGATAAGCCAAGCTGTATAAAGCATACATTTTAAAAAAATATGTTGCATATTTTTAAAATATAAACATCATGTTTTCTATAGTGAGAAGTATTAGTGATTCCGAAGATGGAAGTGGAAGAGGAAACACAGTTTCTTGAAGGTATTGTTTTACATTTCTTATTGATGAGAACCTGAAAATGGGTAAGACATATTAGTATTTATAGTGCAGTTGTTTTGAATTATTCTTGTCTCTTAACTGTCTTTGTCCTACAGAATTTGGGACAAAGCTGGGGCAGTGATCAACAAAAGAAAATATTTGTCATGTTGATTTACAGACATTTCTAAAATTCTGTTTTCACTCTGTCATTATGTTTTCACTCTACATTATGGAGTGTAGATTAATTAGGAAAAAATGAATTTCAACAACTGTAGAATCAGACTGCAGCATAACAAAATTGACAAAAGTGAAGGGGTCTGAATACTCTTTGAATGCAATGTATACATAGGTTGGACAATAAAAAGAAAATACTCATTCAAATTATTTAAAAATCTCAGTGTCCTTTGCATCAAATAACTATATGAATTGAAAATAAATTTAAAATATGTCTCAAACTTAAAACCAAATAATAGAAGATAATGTTAATTTTGGTAGACATATTTCACAGAACAAGTTAAACTAGCAAAACCAAAGAGTTTTGTGTTATTTTTATTCTTGGGAAACTAAAAAAAAATCACTTATCTTTCAAACACTAACTAGCCAAGACCTGTGCGCTCCCTTTCCTTAGTAATCCACAAAAGTTTTATAGAAATGTTTTATTAATCATACATACATTTTTGAAGATTTTTCTTTTGTCATCCTATAGGAAATGAATCAGAAATATAACTATACACTTGATATGCTTATAAAACTATTATTATTGAAGCAAAAATCCATATAATTGTAATTCTCCATGTAGAAAATAATTATTTCAGTGCTGTTGTCCAGTGGCTACTCCTGTTATTTATCAAGTTAGTTTTAAATGACAAATAGTTATTGAATCACTCAGCAATGACATGAAATCTATATTTATTTATTTTATAATATCTTGATCTGGAGGGATTCTACAATAACATATCAAGATTTTCTGGTATAGATATCATATAACTGCAGCTGACGGGTATAGAAGAACCATATAAGGTTATAATTATTTCTAGGCTTTTATTTAGCAGACAAAAAGACAAGAAATAGATGAAATATTAACTGTGTTTAATATGTAAGGGTCAATTATGTCCGTTATTTGAGATGCATATTGAGAAGTTTGTATAAATGTCGAAACAAACAACATTGAACTTTAAATCAGAAAAATTAAAACTGGATGCCAAATGGAGCTATGTAATCCCTTAATTAAGAATCACATGGAAAATTTGTTTAATGTCATTCCGCCCTTTTTGTTGGTTGTTTCCCTAGAATTGTACTGCAATAAAGCTGATATGAAAAAACTAAACAAACCCTAATATTTTGAGAACCAGTCCAGGATTTTGTAACATTGGTTTAAATTTATTTGTTGTAATTTCTCTGTTGTTTATAAAGGGAATCTTTTAATGAGAACATACTGCCGATATCTCACTTGAACTGTATAACACTAAGTATGTGTTATAGAGCCAGCAGTCTAACCAGATTTAG